TTTTGTCACACATATACAACAGCTTTTGTCACACGTATACAACAGCTTTTGTCACACGTATACAACAGCTTTTGTCACACATATACAACAGCTTTTGTCACACGTATACAACAGCTTTTGTCACACGTATACAACAGCTTTTGCGATATATACAACATCTTTTGTTACACATATACAACAGCTTTTGTCACACGTATACAACAGCTTTTGTCACACATATACAACAGCTTTTGTCACACATATACAACAGCTTTTGTCACACGTATACAACAGCTTTTATTACATATACAACAGTTTTTGTTACACGCATACAACAGCTTTTGTTACACATATACAACAGCTTTTGATACACATATATAACAGCTTTTGTCACACATATACAACAGCTTTTGATACACATATATAACAGCTTTTGTCACACGTATACAACATCTTTTGTCACACATATACAACAGCTTTTGATACACATATATAACAGCTTTTGTCACACGTATACAACATCTTTTGTCACACATATACAACAGCTTTTGTCACACGTATACAACATATTTTGTCACACGTATACAACAGCTTTTGTCACACGTATACAACAGCTTTTGTCACACGTATACAACAGCTTTTGCGATATATACAACATCTTTTGTTACACATATACAACAGCTTTTGTCACACGTATACAACAGCTTTTGTCACACAATACAACAGCTTTTGTCACACGTATACAACAGCTTTTGTCACACATATACAACAGCTTTTGTCACAAGTATACAGCAGCTTTTAAAAATTGGAGAACAGTTTGTAAATTCAAATACAGCACAGTTTTTATAACTCTGTAATACACGACAGCTTTTATAACCCGCAATACAGAAAAACACTTGCCAGATAATTAGTCTTATATTCATAGATTTGAAAAGAGCTTTTACAATAATTACTTTCATAATGATTTTTCCTTCAAAAAAGCGATTTTTTTTTCTCTCATCTTTTTGTAGGGAACAGTTCTAACGGAACATTCGTCTAGTTAATTTATCAAGTAGAAACGAAATTCAGATTTTAACGTGAGAAAAATTAACCCGACCGTTAAGGTTTCATCAGAATAATGTGACGATAAAAGTTGCCGCCCTTTTATGATAATTAGAAAAAAGTTTTCACTGTCAGCCCACAAAGAAGATTTCAAAAGCTGTGTATAAAACAAAAACATCGGTCTAGTGGTTTGTTTTCTAACATGGACAATGTGTGTGGGTGGTGTGGTGGTGTGGTGATGTGTGGTGATTGGTGGTGTGGTGTTGTGTGGTGTGGTGATGTGTTTCTGGGGTTTGGTGGTGTGGTGGTATGGTTGTATAAAGGTGTGGAGATGTGGGGTGGTGATATGGTTGTATAAATTGTGGTGGTGTGGTGGTTTGGTTGTATAAAGGTGTGAAGTGTGGTGGTGTGGTGGTATGGTTGTATAAAAGTGTGGTGGTGTGGTGGTATGGTTGTATAAAAGTGTGGAGATGTGGTGGTGTGGTGGTATGGTTGTATAAAAGTGTGGAGATGTGGTGGTGTGGTGGTGTGGTGGTATGGTTGTATAAAAGTGTGCAGATGTTGCGGCGATGGAGTGACGCAGTGATGTGGATGGTTTTTGTTTGTTGACTTCGACCTGTTCATATCAGACCAGGACAGCCTAGGTGTGTCACATGACTGACTTTATCACTGACATCAATGGTTGGCGAATGGAGCACAATGGTTGTAAAATATGCATGCTTAGTTGAAGTGGAAATTGAACAAAAACCGTAAGATGACCTTTTTAAATCTTTTAATTGCTCTCATTTAGCAAACATTGTTTAAACAGAACTAGCTGCCATCTCAGCCAATAGAACTATAGGTCATAGGTCAGTGTATTTGGTCAGCAACAGAGCAGAGGTTGAGTTAGGTGTGGGCTTGTGTGAGGTGGGTGGGATGCGGTTGTAGTGAATAATAAGTTGTGCAATTGGTGTGAAGAATAGTGTGTGTGTGTGTGTGTATGGGGGGGAGATGCACATTCATTAAGAAATCGAACAGCCAAAAGGCCTTAAGCTGGCAAGAATCCCCCCTCCCCACCCAATGTGACCTCGGATTGACCTTTACCATCGCGACATCACACAAAAGGAAACTTCATTCATTAATGTCTTTTGCCCAAAGCCACTCCAAACCTTAGGTCGCACAACATCTTTCTTTATATATAATTCTCTTCTTGTAGACGTTAGAAAACAAGCTGTAAGCGCGCCTTGCAGTCCCCTCTCTTCCTCTCTAGGAAGTCTGGTGAGCTGTGGTTCAAGCTAAATGTTTACAATCGTAGAGCCGGGTTTAGTGACGGCTATTAAGGGCAGATAATGTAGTTTGAAACGATTTTAAACTTAGGGAAGGTAACGAAGAGGAGTTTGCTTTCTAAGGGGGGGGAGGGGGGAAGGGGGGGGGGGTTGGTGGGGTAGGGGTTGGGGTTGGGGGAAAGGAGGGGGGGTTTCGTCCTTAACGACCAACTGATAGTGTTTTAAAGCAAATATTTTCAGTGGCAGCATTGGTAATGTCGAATTCACAAATTATGAATTACTGAAAAGTAGAAAATAAAACAACTAAATAGCGGCTTTACGCCTCGCGTCGGCTCGTTGTATTTTAAAGCACTACAAGGTTTGGATGATGAAAAAATAAAGCAATCTCGAATCGACGCGCTTTGTAAAAACATCTCCCTTTCTTATGAACCCTAACAGTGAAAGAGAGGGGGGGGGGGGTGCATAAAAATCAATTTAAAATCAAGAAACAAAGTTTGATCGTACTGTAGGTCAGCGCGGTGACCCCCGGGCATTGTGGTCCTGTCGGTGAGGTCACGCCAAGTAAACACTCAATCACGTGACTCAATCTTTCTGTGTGGGCGGAGCTTAAGATTCGTTGGTTTCATCATTTTATTTTTACAATTGTTGCTTTGCCAGCTAATGGTCAGATTATTTTCTACATTTATTTTAATGGTGTATTTCAAACATTCAATTTTAAACAAATTTTTAAAATGTTATAAATCCTAGTTCCCTCTCAATGAATCAACACTACAATCAACATTACAACACTACAATCAACATTACAATCAACAGTACAACACTACAATCAACATTACAATCAACACTACAACACTACAATCAACACTACAACACTAAAATCAAAATTGCAATCAACACTACAATACTACAATCAAAGCAATCAAAATTACAATCAACACTAAAATACTACAATCAACACTACAACATTACAACTAACATTACAATCAACACTACAGCCCTACAATCAACACCAGCTAAATGTTTTTAAAAGCATTACACGCATGAGCTATTTATTTATGCTCAAGGGACCGTGCTTCTAATTGGTAAAAAACGGATTGTGAATTTTAACGAGATTGTTTTTACAATTTTTATATGAATATAAAAAAACTAAAAATGGAATCAAGTCATAATAAAGTCATGGGGGGGGGGGGTTGACTAGGGCTGGAACACTCAACACACCAGACTTGACTTAATGAAAACATGGTCAGGTTGATTGTCTGCTTAATAAGTAGTTAATGTGGATTTAGAGGAGAGATTTAAACTCGGCGTTGCTCATATCTTAAAGGTTAATAATAATCATTAAAAAAGTTTTAAAAAACCCACGTTTTCTGATTGAACTAAAAAGTAGAAAATAAATGCTATAGGCCCTACATCACAATAATGCAAGCGATCACTCTACTATAAGCGATCAAAAACGTGGGGCGCCGAAGTAAAAGTTATATTACTATTGATTAGATAATACTATTGACTTTTATTAGGGAGCTTGTAGAGAGTCAACAGTATTAGAAACTGTAAGAAAATCACGGCGCCCCACGTTTTTGCTCGCTTATAGTAGAGTGATCGCTTGCATTATTGTGATGTAGGGCCTATAGCATTTATTTTCTACTTTTTAGTTCAATCAGAAAACGTGGGTTTTTTAAAACTTTTTTAATGATTATTATTTTCTACTTTTTAGTCTTTGTCTGTTTGTTTGCATTAAAATCTTGCTATCGATTTTATCTTTTCACTTTTTTTGGGTAAACGAAGACAACTCGTAAAAAGACAACTCGTAAAAAGACAACTCGTAAAAAGACAACTCGTAAAAAACTCGTTGTTTGAATACGTTACTGACTAGAACACATAGATTTGAACCCGTGTCGAGTGGGATAGCAATCGTGTGCCCAACCACTCGACCATATCGTCTCCCCCAAACTGGCCTACCTCCTGTAAGTTTAAACTCGGTTCAAGCTAAATTCTCTGCCCCTAAGCCTGTGGCGACATGTGATCGTTCGCTTCACTGCGCGCGAGGTACGCGTCGCTGGTTTTTTTTCTAATGGCTAGCAGAGGAGAATTATATATATAGATTATATAGCGGTCTAAAATGCTCAATAAAATGTTTCCATTGATCAATTTAGTAATAATAACAATTGAATATTCAATGGTCATCCAAAAGAAAGCTTCCCTGAAAATTTCAGCGCGCTAGCTAACTGGGAAGTGCCAGAAATTTCGATCGCAAGATTTGATTGGAAAGACAAACACACAAACAGAGAAAGCAAGTTAAAGAAAACGTGGGAAAATACATGAAGTAGGCGTCTTAGTGGACTAGGTCGTGCTGGGTGTAGGTGTTCTGTGTGGGCGGGGAGTCTGGTGGTGGAGTTTCGTGGTGGTGTCTGGTGGTGGAGTGGTGTTGGTGTCTGGTGGTGTAGTCTGGTGGTGGAGTCTGGTGGTGGTGTCTGGTGGTGGAGTGGTGTTGGTGTCTGGTAATGGAGTCTGGTGGTGGAGTCTGGTGGTGTAGTCTGGTGGTGGAGTCTGGTGGTGGTGTCTGGTGGTGGAGTCGTGTTGGTGTCTGGTAATGGAGTCTGGTGGTGGAGTCTGGTGGTGGAGTCTGGTGGTGGAGTCTGGTGAATGGAGTCTGGTGGTGGAGTCTAGTGGTGGAGTCTGGTGGTGGAGTCTGGTGGTGGAGTCTGGTGGAGGAGTCTAGTGGTGGAGTCTGGTGGTGGTGTCTGGTGGTGGAGTGGTGTTGGTGTCTGGTAATGGAGTCTGGTGGTGGAGTCTGGTGGTGGAGTCTGGTGGTGGAGTCTGGTGGTGGAGTCTGGTGGTGGAGTCTGGTGGTGGAGTCTGGTGGTGGAGTATGGTGGTGGAGTCTGGTGGTGGAGTCTGGTGGTGGAGTCTGGTGGTGGAGTCTGGTGGTGGAGTCTGGTGGTGGAGTCTATTGGTGGAGTCTGGTGGTGGAGTCTGGTGGTGGAGTCTGGTGGTGGAGTCTGGTGGTGGAGTCTGGTGGTGGAGTCTAGTGGTGGAGTCTAGTGGTGGAGTCTGGTGGTGGAGTCTGGTGGTGGAGTCTGGTGGTGGAGTCTGGTGGTGGAGTCTGGTGGTGGAGTCTGGGAGTCAGTCTGGTTGTTGTGTGGCCGTGTGGTCGTGTGGTCAGGTGATTGTTCTGACGATCCAATTGTGCCCACACAATCGGCGTCATGTAGGTTCCAAACTTCATTTAGGTTATCGGATGGGTTGTTGTGTAGGACAACCAGGTGACAACCCGATGACTGGATGTTATGTAGGACAACCCTGTGACTGGGTGTTGTGTAGTACAACCCTGTGAATGGTTGTTATGTAGGACAACCCGGTGACTGGATGTTATGTAGGACAACCCGATGACTGGATGTTGTGTAGGACAACCCGGTGGATGTTATGTAGGACAACCCGGTGACTGGATGTTGTGTAGGACAACCCGGTGACTGGATGTTGTGTAGGACAACCCGGTGACTGGATGTTGTGTAGGACAACCCGGTGACTGGATGTTGTATATGGCAACCCGGTGACAACCCGGTGACTGGATGTTGTGTAGGACAACCCGATGGCTGGATGTTGTGTAAAACAACCCGGTGGATGTTATGTAGGACAACCCGGTGACTGGATGTTGTGTAGGACAACCCGATGACTGGATGTTGTGTAAGGCAACCCGGTGGATGTTATGTAGGACAACCCGGTGACTGGATGTTATGTAGGACAACCAGGTGGTTGTTGTGTAGGACAACCCTGTGACTAGATGTTGTGTAGGACAACCCGATGACTGGATGTTGTGTAGGACAACCCGGTGACTGGATGTTGTGTAAGGCAACCTGCTGGTTGCTGTGTTGGACAACCCGGTGACTGGATGTTATGTAGGACAACCCGATGACTGGATGTTGTGTAGGACAACCCGGTGACTGGATGTTGTGTAGGGCAACCCGGTTGTTGTTGTGTAGGACAACCCGATGACTGGATGTTGTGTGGGACAACCCGGTGACAACCCAGTGGCTGGATGTGTAAGACAGCCCAGTAACAGGATGTTGTGTAGGACAACCAGGTGGTTGTTGTGTAGGACAACCCTGTGACTAGATGTTGTGTAGGACAACCCTGTGACTGGATGTTAGTTGTGTAGGACAACCAGGTGGTTGTTGTGTAGGACAACCCTGTGACTAGATGTTGTGTAGGACAACCCTGTGACTGGATGTTAGTTGTGTAGGACAACCAGGTGGTTGTTGTGTAGGACAACCCTGTGACTAGATGTTGTGTAGGACAACCTGGTGACTGGATGTTGTGTAAGGCAACCTGGTGGTTGCTGTGTTGGACAACCCTATGACTGGATGTTATGTAAGACAACCCAGTAACCGGATTTTGAGTAGGACAACCCGATGGCTGTTGGGTAGGACAACCCGGTGACTGGATGTTATGTAGGACAACCCGGTGGATGTTATGTAGGACAACCCGGTGACTGGATGTTATGTAGGACAACCCGGTGACTGTGTGTTATGTAGGACAACCCGGTGACTGGATGTTGTGTAGGACAACCCGGTGACTGGATGGACAACCCGGTGGTTGTTGTGTAGGACAACCCGGATGGGTTGTAGTTTGAATCCTGCCTGCGTTGTCTCCGATGTTTAAAAAAGTTATACACTAATCTATTTTAAGCAAGGGCGGAATCGATTTTTCTTTATCTTTTCACTTACAAACACGAAGAGAATCGATACTTAAACTCACTTATAAGCAAATGTCGCACGATCGTACACACTGATGCACGCACAAATCTGGTCGTCGTTTGGCCACAAATTAGCAGCAGTTGATATACAGACGCGAGAGGTAAGTCCAACAGAAGGTACATCACAGGTAGTCAGGTTTTCGCGATCACTACCTGACGTCGGTACAGCAGGACTTGACAGGGTAGGCTGGTCACACATACATACATACATTTGTTAGCAGGCAGCATTAACAAGCATAGAAACGTATATATATATATATATATATATATATATATATATATATATATATATATATATATATATATATATATATATATATAAAATAATGTATGTATATACACTTGGCATAAGAGCGAAAGAGCTAAGGCAAGCTGACAGAAATGCCGATACCCATGTGTAAGAGCTAAGGCAAGCTGACAGAAATGCCAAGACCCGTGTGTAAGAGCTAAGGCAAGCTGACAGAAATGCCAAGACCCATGTGTAAGAGCTAAGGCAAGCTGACAGAAATGCCAAGACCCGTGTGTAAGAGCTAAGGCAAGCTGACAGAAATGCCAAGACCCATGTGTACGAGCTAAAGCAAGCTGACAGAAATGCCAAGACCCATGTGTAAGAGCTAAGGCAAGCTGACAGAAATGCCAAGACCCATGTGTAAGAGCTAAGGCAAGCTGACAGAAATGCCAAGACCCGTGTGTAAGAGCTAAGGCAAGCTGACAGAAATGCCAAGACCCATGTGTAAGAGATAAGGCAAGCTGACAGAAATGCCAAGACCCATGTGTAAGAGACTGGTGAAGCGACCCATCCAATTGTTATCAAGCTTTTACCAGCTTCCGTTTCTCGCTGACTTCCGGTGATACCACGCGCGGGTCAAGGTCACTGTCCGCCTACTCGTGCTGGACATTAATGATATTAGCTAGAAGGTTCCAGCACCGGCTATAAATAGAAGCCCCAATTATTAAGAAACGGGTCCATATGTGACCCTGTTTGCTGCGGTTGGTATGAAACAGTGATAGATTCAGGTCTCAAGTATCTGTACATAGTCTACTAGAACGGCTGTGTGAAGTGTACAAGAAATGTACAACTGGTAATGTGTACTGGGTCGATAGAAATACATGTGTACAGCATAAACGAAGTATAAATAAATATTTCTTCTATCTTCACAATCAGAGTTTCTTCCAGGCATCTCTTCGGGGGGGCGAAGACCCCCCCCCCCCCCCCCGAAAAATTTTTACCGCCCCCCCCCCCCCGAACGAAATGAAATTTATATAATTTATATAGAAAATATATACTTTTAACAGTGTCCGCCCCCCACCCCCCCGAAGAAAGTTTACCGCCCCCCCCGAAGATTTCAAGTGCCCCCCCCCCCCCCGGAGAAAAAAGTCTGGAAGAAACACTGTTCACAATAAGCCTGGATGAGTTGAGTAACGAATAAAGTGATAAGCCCACACAGTGAATCTGGGCGATGAACGTGTTAGGCCTGGTACACACGGTACGACTGAACACAATTCGTGCTAAACAAGAAATCTTTTGTGGTTTGGGGTCTGGTAGTGGTATCACCCTGTAGTGGCCTGTACATTGGGCTTTCACGTTGAATTGTACTGTCAGGTCAAACTGTAGTATCACGTGAAACAAGGGGTGTCACATCAATATGTAGTGGCACGTTGAATTGTTGTGTCACGTCAAACTGGACAGGCACGTCAAGATGTAGTGTCACGTCAAACTAGGGGTGTCACGTCAATATGTAGTGTCACGTCAAACTGTAATGCCATGGTATATTGCAGTAAATCTCCAAAATGGATAGAAATAAATGTTTAAAAGATAATTCAATAGATGATCTCCCCTTTAATGAGAAATCCAGAAATTCCCAGTTACCCGAGGAGATGTAGCACCTACCAGTGAGGCTGACGGCAACCTATTCAAGACAACACCGACAACATGGTGTAGGCAAATGGTGAATCATTTTACCGCAGTTTGATGTAGGCAAATGGTGAATCAATTTAACGCAATTTGATATACGCAAATAGTGAATTTATTTACCAGTTTGATGTAGGCAAATGGTGAATCATTTTACCGTTAGTTTGATGTAGGCAAATGGTGAATCATTTTACCGCTAGTTTGATGTAGGCAAATGGTGAATCATTTTACCTCTAGTTTGATGTAGGCAAATGGTGAATCGATTTACCGCAGTTTGATGTAGGCAAATGCTGAATCCATTTAACGCAATTTGGTGTAGGCAAATGCTGAATCAATTTAACGCAATTTGATATACGCAAATAGTGAATTTATTTACCAGTTTGATGTAGGCAAATGGTGAATCATTTTACCGTTAGTTTGATGTAGGCAAATGGTGAATCATTTTACCGCTAGTTTGATGTAGGCAAATGGTGAATCATTTTACCTCTAGTTTGATGTAGGCAAATGGTGAATCAATTTACCGCAGTTTGATGTAGGCAAATGCTGAATCCATTTAACGCAATTTGGTGTAGGCAAATGCTGAATCAATTTAACGCAATTTGATATACGCAAATAGTGAATTTATTTACCAGTTTGATGTAGGCAAATAGTGAATCATTTTACCGTTAGTTTGATGTAGGCAAATGGTGAATCATTTTACCGCTAGTTTGATGTAGGCAAATGGTGAATCATTTTACCTCTAGTTTGATGTAGGCAAATGGTGAATCAATTTACCGCAGTTTGATGTAGGCAAATGCTGAATCCATTTAACGCAATTTGGTGTAGGCAAATGCTGAATCAATTTAACGCAATTTGATATACGCAAATAGTGAATTTATTTACCAGTTTGATGTAGGCAAATGGTGAATCATTTTACCGTTAGTTTGATGTAGGCAAATGGTGAATCATTTTACCGCTAGTTTGATGTAGGCAAATGGTGAATCATTTTACCTCTAGTTTGATGTAGGCAAATGGTGAATCAATTTACCGCAGTTTGATGTAGGCAAATGCTGAATCCATTTAACGCAATTTGGTGTAGGCAAATGCTGAATCAATTTAACGCAATTTGATATACGCAAATAGTGAATTTATTTACCAATTTGATGTAGGCAAATGGTGAATCATTTTACCGTTAGTTTGATGTAGGCAAATGGTGAATCATTTTACCGCTAGTTTGATGTAGGCAAATGGTGAATCATTTTACCTCTAGTTTGATGTAGGCAAATGGTGAATCAATTTACCGCAGTTTGATGTAGGCAAATGCTGAATCCATTTACGAGTTTGATGTAGGAAAATAGTGAATCATTTTAACGCAATTTGGTGTAGGCAAATGGTGAATCATTTTAACGCAATTTGATGTAGGCAAATGGTGAATCATTTTACCGCTAGTTTGATGTAGGCAAATGGTGAATCAATTTACGCGGCAATTTCTCGCATTCGCAGACCAGAGCTATCTGTGGAGAGAATTGATGTAATGAAGGCACACGTCCAAGTGTTGTATGCCGGGGTGGAAAATTGTTTGCTGGCCAGATTTAGCTCGCGAGGCAAACCAACTCATAATAATAAACAATTTTTCCTTCCAGTTTGAAGAGATTTCAATCTAGTTCTCAACAGACGCATGTGCATCATTATTGGGGAGGGGGGGCGTTGCTAGAACAATTATCATCACCGCCTTACCAACACACACATATGCATACATACACACATAGACAACTCTCATATACCTACATACACAATTGAACGACCAAATATAGCTGCATAATTAGCTCACTTTCAGACAAATTTCTAATTACAATTTGAATTTACCTATGTAGTTATAAAACCGCAGGGCGAAATGAAAAGTTGCGAAATGTCAAAGTGATTTTTTCGCAGGCTGGCGTATTGACGATATTGACAAAAATGTCGCTAAATCGGTCTCAAATTAGACAGGGGTAGCATGCTAGTTTACACCGTTGTGATAGAGAACACTGCTTTCTATTACCTCCGCTAACTACTAATGGCATGTTTCCTAATTGATTTTTGAGTTGCTGCCCCTTTATTGCTTATGTGTATACCATCGCTAGCTCCATGTCAAATAATTGAAACTAAAAAGGTTCTTTCTAGTAGCTTATATTTTTAAAGTAATTTGTCAATATAAAAGAATTGAACTCAATCGCAGACTTATGGTGGGTAACCAATGCTCAGCCAATTGAAAAGCTGTGAAAATTTGCTTAGCTCTTAAGGTCAACTTTACTATTTTTAGAGTATAAAAGCTTAATGATTTTTTATTTGACATGATTGGTTAAAGCTAAAGAAAGCATTAAAAGGTGTTGGCCGTGCGCTAAAATACGTGTGTGTGTGTGTTATCAGCGTGTGTGTGTGTGTGTTGCTAAACTCTAAGAGATGTTAGCTGAGGTTTGTTTCATAGTGTCAACCATCACAGTTACAACCATCACAGTTACAACCATCACAGTACAGTGACAACCATCACAGTACAGTGACAACCATCACAGTACAGTGACAACCATCACAGTACAGTGACAACCATCACAGTACAGTGACAACCATCACAGTACAGTGACAACCATCACAGTACAGTGACAACCATCACAGTGACAACCATCAAAGTACTATGACAACCATCACAGTGACAACCATCACAGTTACAACCATCACAGTGTCATCTTTCACCATGACAACCATCACAGTGACAACCATCGCAGTGACAACCATCACAGTTACAACCATCACAGTGTCATCTTTCACCATGACAACCATCACAGTGACAACCATCGCAGTGACAACCATCACGGTGTCAACCATCACAGTGTCAACCATCACGGTGTCAACCATCACAGTGACAACCATCACAGTACAGTGACAACCATCACATTAACAACCATCACAGTGTCAACCATCACAGTGTCAACCATCACGGTGTCAACCATCACAGTGACAACCATCACAGTACAGTGACAACCATCACATTAACAACCATCACAATGACAACCATCACAGTACAGTGACAACCATCATAGTGACAACCATCATAGTGACAACCATCACATTAACAACCATCACAGTTTCAACCATCACATTAACAACCATCACAGTGACAACCATCACAGTGACAACCATCAAAGTTGTATCACTACTCAAGTGTAGGGCCAAACGTGTATCACCACTTAAGTCTTGCATGCGTATGTTTCACCAATAAGATGTAGGACTACGGTTATGTCACCAGCCATATCAATAAAACGTCTTACAGAATAAGGCTGAAGTAACTTTTATAATTATACGGCTTTTAGTCCTTGAGAAAGAAAAACAATTTACGTGTATTTGATGATCAGGCAGAAAAAAGAAAATAATTCTATCAATGGCTAATAAAACCGTTTCAAAAATGTGGATTTTATTTGATTAGTTGAATCTATCCTAATAAACTTTTTCTTTAAAAACGTGCTCACTCCTTTCTGCTACTAGTACTCAGCACGTGCGACCTACGTCATCAGTTAGAAGACCATTCATATTTTCTATAACAATCAATGCATACAACACAACACGATTTTCAGTATACACAAAAAAAATACAAGACACGAACGATAACTCCTATTTACCTCGGCGTACAGTTCTCTCCCTTTGTGTTTTCTTACAGTGAAATCACCGGTCTGTATGTTGTTTGTGTGGTCCCCGCCTATTGTATCCACCACTACAAATCGATGGCTGTTTGTGTGGTCCCCGCCTATTGTATCCACCACTACAAATCGATGGCTGTTTGTGTGGTCCCCGCCTATTGTATCCACCACTACAGATGGCTGTTTGTGTGGTCCCCGCCTATTGTATCCACCACTACAGATGGCTGTTTGTGTGGTCCCCGCCTATTGTATCCACCACTACAGATCGATGGCTGTTTGTGTGGTCCCCGCCTATTGTATCCACCACTACAGATGGCTGTTTGTGTGGTCCCCGCCTATTGTATCCACCACTACAGATCGATGGCTGTTTGTGTGGTCCCCGCCTATTGTATCCACCACTACAGATGGCTGTTTGTGTGGTCCCCGCCTATTGTATCCACCACTACAGATCGATGGCTGTTTGTGTGGTCCCCGCCTATTGTATCCACCACTACAGATGGCTGTTTGTGTGGTCCCCGCCTATTGTATCCACCACTACAGATCGATGGCTGTTTGTGTGGTCCCCGCCTATTGTATCCACCACTACAGATCGATGGCTGTTTGTGTGGTCCCCGCCTATTGTATCCACCACTACAGATGGCTGTTTGTGTGGTCCCCGCCTATTGTATCCACCACTACAGATCGATGGCTGTTTGTGTGGTCCCCGCCTATTGTATCCACCACTACAGATCGATGGCTGTTTGTGTGGTCCCCGCCTATTGTATCCACCACTACAGATCGATGGATGTTTGTGTGGTCCCCGCCTATTGTATCCACCACTACAGATCGATGGCTGTTTGTGTGGTCCCCGCCTATTGTATCCACCACTACAGATCGATGGCTGTTTGTGTGGTCCCCGCCTTTTGTATCCATCACTACAGATCGATGGCTGTTTGTGTGGTCCCCGCCTATTGTATCCACCACTACAGATCGATGGCTGTTTGTGTGGTCCCCGCCTATTGTATCCACCACTACAGATCGATGGCTGTTTGTGTGGTCCCCGCCTATTGTATCCACCACTACAGATCGATGGCTGTTTGTGTGGTCCCCGCCTATTGTATCCACCACTACAGATCGATGGCTGTTTGTGTGGTCCCCGCCTATTGTATCCACCACTACAGATGGCTGTTTGTGTGGTCCCCGCCTATTGTATCCACCACTACAGATCGATGGCTGTTTGTGTGGTCCCCGCCTATTGTATCCACCACTACAGATCGATGGATGTTTGTGTGCAGATGTTCCCTGTCGTGTTACAATAACATTGGACATTTCTTGCTGCTTATATCGCAACTCTCAACTTGGTGGATGGCACAAACTCCACGTGGTGGATAGCACAAACTCCACATGGTGGATGGCACAAGCTCCACTTGGTGGATACAGCAAACTCCACTTGTGAATGGCACAAACTCCACTTGGTGGATACAGCAAACTCCACTGGGTGGATGGCACAAACTCAACTTGGTGGATGGCACAAACTCCACTTGGTGGATGGCACAAATTCCACAAGGTGGATGGCACAAATTCCACAAGGTGGATGGCACAAACTCCACTTGGTGGATGGCACAAACTCCACTTGGTGGATGGTACAAACTCCACTTGGTGGATACAGCAAACTCCACTTGGTGGGTGGCACAAATGATACAAACATAAGAACTAGCATGAGTTTCAATGAAAAGTGCCAAAGGCCAAAACAAATATTTCCTCTCAAGGACTTGTCATTTGTCGTCTCGGAGAATAATGACCTAAGATTAATTATCTTTTGAAATTTTAGAGAATAATGACAAGAGATTAATTATCGTTGGGCGTCTAGGATTATTCATTTATTATGTATTGGAGTTGAATTACAGGCCGGTGTAGGCTACTGTTGAAATTTTTTAAAGCAACTGTAACTAGAATCTGTAGTTTTAGAATTCTTTCAAGACCAGGAATTTAAAAATTATTCTACCTTTTTATTACAAGCTTTTATTTAACTTCCGTCCTCCGTCTGTTGGTCTTCGTCCGTCACAGATTAAAACTGGCGAGCGAAATTTCGAGCACTTCTAAGTGACCGATTCATTTCAAACTTGGCATTATGGTCAAGATCCGATGACAATGCAATCTGAGATCAAATTTGACTTAATTGGATGCCTATTTAATTAAGAATAAATTAATTAAAGTGTACTAAATAAAGTAGGGGTCCAACTATTATCCCTCACTGTTAGGGGCGAAATTTCATGTTCATTTGGTGCGCAATTGGCCATGAAACTCTATTGCATAAAAAAATTTAAAATACTGGGGAAAACATGCTTTAAATGCGTTTTGATAACAAGTTTTTTTATAATAATGCACTAAGAAGGAGAAAATAAACGTTTTTCTTTAAATATTAAATACTATTTAAATAAAGGAAAGCGCGGGTCTCTTACTGTATAATAGTAAAGGTATCCAATAGATAATAAAGTGACCACCGCTTTTCTAAACAGTTATTTAAATAATAGTTATTTTGTCCTTTTTAGTGTATTATTTACATAAGAGCTTGTTTTGAAAAAAAAAATGTTTCTTTTTCTTTAATGTAGAGTAAAAAATGAGGTCATATTTAAAATTATGTTTGTGCCAGAGAAGTCACAGACATACCTCACACAACTCACACAATGCCCCACACAACTCACACAATGCCACACACAACTCACACAATGCCCCACACAACTCACACAATGCCCCACACAACTCACACAATGCCCCACACACCTCACACAATGCCCCACACACCTCACACCATATCCCACACAACTCACACAATGCCCCACACAACTCACACAATGCCCCACACACCTCACACAATGCCCCACACACCTCACACCATATCCCACACAACTCACACAATGCCCCACACAACTCACACAATGCCCCACACAACTCACACAATGCCCCCACACAACTCACACAATGCCCCACACAACTCACACAATGCCCCACACAACTCACACAATGCCCCACACAACTCACACAATGCCCCACACAACTCACACAATGCCCCACACACCTCACACAATGCCCCACACAACTCACACAATATCCCACACAACTCACACAATGCCCCACACACCTCACACAATGCCCCACACACCTCACACAATATCCCACACAACTCACACAATGCCCCACACAACTCACACAATGCCCCACACACCTCACACAATGCCCCACACACCTCACACAATGCCCCACACAACTCACACGATTCCACACAATGCCCCACACAACTCACACAATGCCCCATACAACTCACACAATGTCCCACACAACTCACACAATGCCCCATGTAACTCACACAATGCCCCACACACCTCACACAATGCCCCACACAACTCACACAATTCCCCACACAACTCACACAATGCTCAACACAATGCCCCACACAACTCACACAATGTCCCACACAACTCACACAATGTCCCACACAACTCACACAATGCCCCACACAACTCACACAATGCCCCACACAACTCACACATTGTCCCACAATGGCCCACACAACTCACACAATGCCCCACACAACTCACACAATGCCCCACACAACTCACACAATGCCCCACACAACTCACACAATGCCCCACACAACTCACACAATGCCCCGCACAACTCATACAATGCCCCACACAACTCACACAACTCACACAATGCCCCACACACCTCACACAATGCCCCACACACCTCACACAATGCCCCACACAACTCACACAATGCCCCACAAAACTCATACAATGCCCAACACACGTCACACAATGCCCCACACAACTCACACAATGCCCCACACAACTCACACAATGCCCCACACAACTCACACAATGCCCCACACAACTCACACAATGCCCCACACAACTCACACAATGCCCCACACACCTCACACAATGCCCCACACAACCCACACAACTCACACAATGCCCCACACCCATTCTTCACACGTGACACCCCAAACACGTGTAATTAGATTTAATTACCTAACAATGCTGTCATTTATTTGCCTAATGGGCTGTGTTTGTCCGACAAGTCAAAGAGCAGTTTTTATTTATTTATATCAATTTCCGTCGCATTAGCACCCGTCGCTGTAGTGTTATCCAAAGTTGTCCGTCCATCTTCTGTGGTTGTCGTCAGGTCTAGTTTGGTCTTGTCATGTTACTGTTGGTCTAATGATGTTGGTCTAGTGATGATGTTGTTGGTCTAGTGATGATATTGTTGGTCTAGTGATGTTGGTCTAGTGATGTTGGTCTAGTGATGATATTGTTGGTCTAGTGATGTTGGTCTAGTGATGTTGGTCTAGTGATGTTGGTCTAGTGATGTTGGTCTAGTGATGTTGGTCTAGTGATGTTGGTCTAGTGATGTTGGTCTAGTGATGTTGGTCTAGTGATGTTATTGTTGGTCTAGTGATGTTGGTCTAGTGATGTTGGTCTAGTGATGTTGGTCTAGTGATGTTGGTCTAGTGATGTTGGTCTAGTGATGTTGGTCTAGTGATGTTGGTCTAGTGATGTTGGTCTAGTGATGTTGGTCTAGTGATGTTGGTCTAGTGATGTTGGTCTAGTGATGTTGGTCTAGTGATGTTGGTCTAGTGATGTTGGTCTAGTGATGTTGGTCTAGTGATGTTGGTCTAGTGATGTTGGTCTAGTGATGTTGGTCTAGTGATGTTGGTCTAGTGATGTTGGTCTAGTGATGTTGGTCTAGTGATGTTGGTCTAGTGATGTTGGTCTAGTGATGTTGGTCTAGTGATGTTGGTCTAGTGATGTTGGTCTAGTGATGTTGGTCTAGTGATGTTGGTCTAGTGATGTTATTTTGTACTTTGATCGATTTGTTAATTCGGCCTTAATAGCATTGCGCATATTTTCTGGACAACAAGTCTTTCCTGCGATGCTTTACAAGTGTGCTGAGAGTGTATCTTAGACACATCATAGACCATCGTAGACACATTATAGACAATCGTAGACACATCACAGACAATCGTAGACACACCATAGACCATCTTAGACACATCGTAGAAACATCATTGATACATTCTACACACATCATGATGGATGTCTTGTTGTAATATAAAATCCAGCGGAATCAGCTGGAGGTAAACAGACGGGAGACACGTGACTCGCATCCTTTATTGAGCTACTTACATTGCTGCATTGATCCAAAACTACCTACCGCCCCCTCCCCTCCCAGTACGTAGTGGTACGACATACGAAACCCAGACCATCTCACGTTTGAGAGTAGCGTTTAGCTGAAGCCATAAATGAATGCTATGCAATGAGTAAGACCATCTCACGGTGGAAAATGCGTAAAGCTGCAGTCATAAATGAATTTTATTGAGAAATTGCAGAACTATTTTAAAGGTATTGTACAGGTAGCAGTGACTACTTTCTTACATACAGGTAGCAGTAACTACTTTCTTACATACAGGTAGCATTGACTACCTTGCTACATACAGGTAGCAATGACTGCCATATTACATATAGGTAGCAGTGACTACCTTACTACATCCAGGTAGAAGTGACCATCCCACAGAATGTAGCTTCATATCACTTAATAAGTCGACGACAAATATGAACGCTAGGAGATGTGGATGTCTAAATGAGTGAGGACGACCCCCTCTCCGCTACTATGACTATTTTTATCAAGACATCGTGAGGTTCACGTCTACAACCCCTGATATTTCCATAAATGATAGATATTACTTAAAATCAATTTCAAATGATGTTTCCTTATATGACAGATATTTCTAACATTCATTTCAAACCATGTTTCCATAAATGCCATATATTCTAACATTTATTTCAAATGTTTTCATATGACATTTAACATCAATTTGAAATGATGTTTCCATAAATGACAGATATTTCTAACATTTATTACAAATGATGTTTCCATAAACGACAGATATTTCTAACATCAATTTCACATGTTTCCATAAATGACAGATATTTCTAACAACAATTTCACATTTCCATAAACGACAGATATTTCTAACATCAACTTCACATGATGTTTCCATAAACGACTTATATTTTCCCCATCAGTTCACATGTTTACCTAATCGCCCCATCAAGCACCCAGCACCATCAAACAGCGAGCTTTTATTGAGGGCTACAAGCGGTAAACAGCGTCCCCCACACTCCGCTAGAGAATGAAAATCTAAATATAACTTACCTTTATGAGTTTCTCCTCTCGGCGTGTACTAATCCATGTTTATGGCCGAGCTTTAGTTTTCAATGACTTGATCGATTGTGTTTTTTTTTAGCTCAGCCTTCGCAGGCTGTTAGAGATCACGTATCAACTAAGGGAAGTAATCCACGAGAGTTACCTCCATTTTTTTTTCACTCAATGTTTTTTTTTTCCTCTTGAAATTAACTCGATATGCCTCGTTTCCGCTGCTCCAAAAACGCGTGGTTAAATAAATTTCTTGCGCGAGAGGCAATAAAACCTGGGCGCATGTCGCGTTGTCAGAGAGTAATCCCTGCGCTGAGCGCGGGAAGGTCTGTCGCGCGCGTCGCCCCTGCGCGACACGGAGGGTAAACTGTCATCTCTATTCAGTACTCAAAGTAAGTGCCGCGTACGATACCCGAGTCGAGTACTCGCCCCGCGCTTATGAGGGTGACCGTTGGTAAGACAACGGTATGCCCCTTTGTTGATAAACTTCCAAATTTTAAAACTAGTTAAAATCGACATTTTAATTCCCGTCCTTAATCCGCTTAAAATGGATTTTTTTTATAATTGTTGTTTAATAATCTAAAAATCGATGTTTGTTCCCGGTTTTAATGTTAAAATCCTATTTTGCCACTTTTATTTTCACAGTTTAAATTATCTTTTTACACAACTGGAAAAGTCGATTTTACACAAAGGAAATAAATGTTGATTTTAAACAAAAGGAAAAAAAAATCGATTTTAACAAAATATCCATTTTAACTTAAAGTGGTTTAACATCGGGAATTAAAAGTGGCTTTAATTTTTTAAACAAGGGAAAGTAGCTTAAAAGTTTTTTCTATTGTTCAACAATTTATAATCAACTTTTTATAACTATGGTTTACCAGTTTTAATAGAATATATTTATTCCCTGCACTAAATATGTTGAAGCGACATTTTATTCCATATGTTCAACTTAAAATCGAATTTTTATTTTCTTAGTTCAACAACTTAAAATCGACTTTTTAAAATTTTCTTTGTTCAACAACTTAAAATCGATCTCCCTATCGCCGGTCAAGCCTGACTGATCTCACAAGTCAATGACCCGCTCTCTGATCAGCTAATTGACTCCGGCCATCGATCTCTGATCGGCGTTATCTCCGTCCCAGAGTTCGATGGCTCTTTGATGTTCGCATGGGATCTTCGTGTCAACAAGCCAGCCGACTTCCTGTCACGTGATACGGGTGTACTCCAGGTGGCGCCGAGTGTCTGGTAACCAAGGACGCCATTCTTTTACATGTTTGTCTAATTAAAATGTGTAGAGTACTCTCTCCTTAAACATGATTTACCAAAACAAAAACTATGGGCCTACTTCTCAAATCAATAATGTGTTTGAAAATATGGATGTGATGTGTTTAAATGTATCTGCTGAAAAGTCATTGAATTTTATACGTGTATAGAAAATGTGTGTTATTTTATTTTTAAAAGTTGTAATGTTATTAAGTATGATTGAATGTAACTATGAATCGTAAACACTTTGCTCTTCGTCATGACGTGTCAGAATTCTTACACCTTTTCGTGTTACTGGGTATTACATTGGCTAGTTTTGTCATATGGTTTAAACTAAACAATAAATCGTGAAAGTTTACTAGTTTTGTCATGGGGTTTGAACTAGACAATAAATCTTGAAAGTTTACTAGTTTTGTCACGTGGTTTGAACTAGACAATAAATCGTGAAAGTTTACTAGTTTTGTCCAGTGGTTTGAACTAGACAATAAATCGTGAAAGTTTACTAGTTTTGTCCAGTGGTTTGAACTAGACAATAAATCGTGAAAGTTTACTAGTTTTGTCATGGGGTTTGAACTAGACAATAAATCGTGAAAGTTTACTAGTTTTCCTACTTGTTTAAGACAGGGCAACATTTTTTACCGACAATTTTTCTGGTTCGTCCATGCAGCAGCCATATGAGTATCAGCACTAAACGAATTATCCACCCCGTAAAAATTGATGTAATTATGCTCAGCCTCCCCTCCCCCTCCCCCATGCTGTTGCCAGGTTTCCCCAGCCACAGACCCAGTGGTAGACGTGTACAAAAATGGGTTGATTTCAAAAACAAAACGGCCGCAATCGTTTTTTTTTTATCTTGAAATTTTTTGAATTATGCAGGATGTTGTTTTTTTATGTATCAGACAGACTTGTTTAATTCATTCACATACGTAATGTTAGTTCAATCATATACACATGATGTGTTCAGTCATACATTTGTTAGTCCAGTCATACACAAAATACAGTCACGTTTACATCTATTTTTAGCCTCGACACCTTATCATGAACTACAACTCTAAATGTTTTGATACTTCACATTTTCGCATGTTTTCCCAAATAATTGATATACCAATACATTTTGTTTTGTTGTTGTTTTGTATTATTTATGTGCGTGTCTCTGTGTACATCTCAGCGTCGTGTGTGTGTGTCTGTAACTGTGTCTGCTTATTGGTTTTGTGTCTATATGTTTGTGTCTATTAAATGGCAAATGTGTAAATGTGTTGTTTATGTGTATTGGCTAGTGCCTATATGTGTATTGAACATCCTATAGCCTATCTGTGTCTCTGTATCGGTTTGTGTTCATGTAAGTGTTATCTGTGTCAATGTGTGTGTATGTATATGTGTATTTGTGTGTCTATGTGTGCCTATGTGTGTTTGTGTATGTGTATCTGTCTGCCTATGTGTGTTTGCGTATGTTTATCTGTGTGCCTATGTGTGTTTGTGTATGTATGTATGTATGTATATCTATGTGTGTTTGTGTATGTGTATCTGTGTGCCTGTGTGTATGTGTATCGGTGTGCCTATATTTGTATGTTTATATGTGTGTCTATGTGTGTATGTGTATGTTCCCATACATTTGATCTGTCGTGATGAGAGATGTGTACAAACGATAGTGTGTTCTGTGACGTGACCCAGGAAATTGGCTGTACACGTCATGTAGTAGTGGCCTCAGATGTTTTTGCCCAGTAATAAATTGTATCCTATTGATTGAAACACGGTCAAATGAAGTTAGATGTTTAGAGACTAGCCTTGACGGTGGAGTAAGGACATATTGGTATTATTCTTTACGTGTGTACATTTATAACATTTTATGTTGAAAACTTCTCGTTCAATATATCATAAAGCGTTTATCTTCCCGGAAATTTCTACTTTGCTCCCTTCAATAATCAAAAATGGAAATAATTAATCAAAATACGTCTCAAGAAAATAAAATTCCTCAGAAGATCGTCTTAACTTCTAACATCTTTTGACGATGTATACAAGATACCAAATGATGGCCTAAAGATAGGGACTTTATATCGGATATTCCCCAAAAAGTTGGCACTACTTGCTAGCTGCTTAATGAAGGTAATTGGGAGGATAGGTAAGAAGATGGACGAGTCCATTATTAATTCGGGTTAAAGTATTTTTACTTTTACACCAAAGAAATCTGTGTCAAAACGAATCGGTTAATTTAGCTTTATTCAATACAAACACGTTTCAGAAGTGATTAATTAATGCATATGTGTATTGATCTAGTAGGGGAGATAATGCAAGGATGTTGTTACTAACTGTAAAGGGCCTAATATGTTGTACATCACCATACTCAACGAGAGGTCATATAGATCTAGGTCTTATATCTTTCAGCGTGTACTTGTATCAAGATACATCCGAAGTGAACTTAGAGAAATGTATGTCTTACAGCCTTTGCTGTGGCTAGAGTAAGTGAAGAAATCACAAAGTCATTTTTTTAACATCCATGACTGAGTCTAATAAAGTCATTTTATGACCAACTTTGTGTCCAATTAAGTCATTTTTGACCATCAATGACTGAGTCCAATAAAGTCATTTTTTGAACAACTCTCTTAACTAAGTCATTTTTTAACATCCATGACTGAGTCTAATAAAGTCATTTTATGACCAACTTTGTGTCCAACTAAGTCATTTTTGACCATCAATGACTGAGTCTAATAAAGTCATATTTGACCAACTGAATCCAACAGTCCTTTGGTGACGAACTCCATGAAAGCAATAGACCGGACGTGATCAACCATACTGGACGTGGTCAGCCATACGAAACTAACAATTGTGTGTACCTCTTCATACGGCTTAAACCTTCGTCATATGATTTTCGACTGTTGGTATATAACTTTTGGCATATGACTGCTGGCATATGACTGCTGGCAAATGTTTGTTGACATTTGACCAGTGGCATATGACTGTTGGCATAAAATTGTTATGACTATGATCAGTGGCGTAGCCAGGATCGTCTCATGGGGCGGGGGTTCAAATTTTTTCCCGCATTATAAATGTATATATCAGAGGCGTAGCGTCCCTCCCCGGCCCCCGAGGACAAACTTTTGATTTGCACCCCCCTCCCCCCTCAAACTTTCAATTTTGCACCCCCCCCCCCCCCCCCCCCCGCTCAACCTTTATGATTTATGGATTGGTATGGATCTAGTTACAGACAATTTGCTGTACATTTTTTTAAAAATAAGGGACAATTTGTATCGTGCTTTCATCTTTGTGTTCAGTCCATAAAAATTGATAAGAATTTGAAAATCGTGACTGAAAAATTATTATTTCAACTAGTCAACTATTTCCAATGTTTAATTGTGTATAAGAACAGCGAATCTTGTTAACACCCGCACCATCACACACACCATCACACACACACACATACACTCCGAGACATTCCCACACAGAGCTCTAACCACCCGACCAGTCAGCCGACAACAGACGTATCCCCGTGAGTTCCCGCGCTAATGGAGTCTGTCTGATGAGGCAGACGGCAACTGATGACCCAGGGCCCGTCTAGGTCTTCAGTCACAGACCATCCGACCGTCTGCTACGGCTTCAGACGGTACCGCTAAATTAAATGTGACCCAATTTATTTCGATTGGGAAGGTAAGGGTGGGGTGGTGGTTTAGGATTGTGTGTGTGTGGTGATGTGTGTGGTTGTCGGGATGTGGGTGTGTGTGTGGTGATGTGTGTGGTTGTTGGGATGTGTGTATTGCATGGGAACGTTGTCATGGCGTATTGTGGTCATGGCGTGTGGTTGTCATGGGGTGTGATGGGCTCAGTGTTGTTATAGATGTGTGGTTGTCATGGCGTGTGGTTGTCATGGGGTGTGATGGGCTTAGTGTTGTTTAGATGTGTGGTTGTCATGGCGTGTGGTTGTCATGGGGTGTGATGGGCTCAGTGTTGTTTAGATGTGTGGTTGTCTAGGAGTGTGGGGCTATCGTCTGATTGTTTAGGTATATAAACTTCTATAAGGACGGATTGGTCGAATGATAGAACGTTGGACTGCTAGTGTGAAGGTCTTGAGTTCGGATCTTGGTTCAGATATGTGACTATAGTACGTCCCTGAGGTCAAGAAACATGACCTCTACCTCGCTAGGTCTAACGAGAAATTCTTTTCTTTTTTGATATTATCATATTTCAGTCTCGTTGATTGGATGCATTCGACACAATTCAAACCAGATTACCTCATGTTTGAACACAGCAACAGTTGTGTTCTGTATTGAACACAGCAACAGTTGTGGTCTGTATTGAACACAGCAACAGTTGTGGTCTGTATTGAACACAGCAACAGTTGTGGTCTGTATTGAACACAGCAACCATTGTGGTCTGTATTGAACACAGCAACAATTGTGGTCTGTATCGAACACAGCAACAGTTGTGGTCTGTATTGAACACAGCAACAATTGTGGTGTGTATTGAACACAGCAACAATTGTGGTGTGTATTGAACACAGCAAAAACGTGTGGTCTGTATTGAACACAGCAACAACAATAATGAAAAATGGCAGAAATACCAGAGAAAATGTCATATTAGTTTATTTCATACTTTCTTTCACACATAAATTGTACAATTTTGTCATTTGGAAAATATTTCATTTTTTAATAATATATGTATACATTACTGTCACTAGACCACTGAATATACTAGAAGGTTTCCAATTCAATTATTATTCAATTAATTAACCACAAATTGATTTTTAATGGGAAAACTCATTCTCTGCATTTTGGTTAGACTGTATATACAAGGGAGGTAACCGTGGGTCTAAACTCACCAGGTTAAACTATGTGAGATTATCTCCCCTGAAGGGAAATGATTGTCAGTTGTCTGACTACACAACAGAGTGGCTGGCCTTGTAGGAGATCATTCAATGGAAACAGACAAGCTAGGACTTTCTCACTCGTTCATGTATTGGTTCATTGTCGGTCAATATGACTGGATGTAAACAAGATTTTAAACTGCTAACACCCTAATCAAACAACATCATCAAATTATCTGGTAATGTATTATCTTTAGATCCTGTTCATAAATGTAGTTGACTCCATATTGGATAGATGTTTGTGTAAGATGATTAAATATTGATTATTGCATTGCTTAACAAATTACACATAATTGAAGTGCATGCAGCACTTAACTAATGAAGAGATTGATGTTCCCAGGATCTCTGATTCACTCAAGCCTATCAAAGGGACAGTCCAACAACCAAAACATCAACAAGCAGGAAAACCTGCAGAGAAATTCTACAACTTTGCTTACCTTCTAACATTAAATAGCATTAATGACCCTGCTTTTAAATAGAATTTTACACAAATCAAAATCAGTAGGAAACTAACAAATCTAGGTGATATAAAAATTCACTTCAATATTTTAATTTTATACTGGCCATTTAATCAAAAGAAATATGTTCCTTATTTGCAACAGAAAATAACATGCCTCTTGATAAAATAAACTTACACATGCATAGATATCTAGTGAGACATCCAGAATAAACTATTTAAAATGCATAATTAATTGCATAATTAAAACAATACATTGTATCTAAACCAGAGGGAGGGGTTGCATACAGTCAATATACTGTCTATACCATTTGTCAAAGTCACTGCAGTCATAACTGGCCAACAGTCCTTAATCTAAAGTCATCATTTGCCCATCAAGTCATTTATCTAAACAATCATAATTTGTCCATCGAGTCACTTATCTAATCAGTCATGACTTGCAGTCAAGGGGTTCTAGAAAAATGATGTCCAAGAGTAAAGAATAAAATCTATCACTTCTTATGTACAGCCACTAAATGATATCCACAATGAGGCATCAATACAATGACTTCTTGGAAGTCACGTGATCCAAGTTTGTTCTATTTATAGCCAATGTACCATTTATCTCAACATACAACTGGAATCACTAGGAAATATTTTGGGTTTAGACATATATGAACAGACAAAAAATACTTCAAGCTCATCTCACAACATTATTTAAAAACATACTTCAAAGTAATAAATATTATTACCATTTATGCTAAATATATCTATGATGAATGTAAATAATTACAAAATTAAATGTAAAAATGTCTACCTAAAGCTAGACCGAGGCAGCATTTAAGTGGTATGCACATATAATGGGGGGGGGGGGGGGGAGGGGCGCGTTAGGGTTGTTGTCTAGAACTTTTGGTTTTATTTATTTCGTTTAACTTCAAAAGCAATCTAAAGTTGTAACCATTTGTTTCAAGTTTTTAGTTACAGGAACCATATATAGAGACACAAATTTGTTTAACTGTAGAATACTAGTTGAAGGAGTTTTAAATTATTCAAATCTTTTGATAGTTCTTTGTTCTGTAGGGGGGGGGGGAGATCTGAGTGTTATATAATACGGGAGGGAATAGGGAAGGTGATCTGTGGTATTGTTAACTTTAACTTAACTATTTTATAAGGTGACAAAAGTAGGCACAATGGCCTATTAGGTGGGGTGGTCTATGACATTACTGCTGTAGAGGGTAGGGGTGGTGGGTTAAAACTGCTGTAGTTTTGTAGTTTACAAAATGTGCATGATCCCTCATTGGCTGGGCTAAACCTAGACTAGGCAGAGATGGATGTGTTCTACAGTTTCCAATGCTGGAGCAGATCATAACAAATGAGAATCATGGCTAAAGTAAGGATGTAACCAAAGACAAAATGAGGTCAGAACTTTTGCTGTTTGCTATAACATAATCCCTGAGAGGTTTCATACGCTGGACACACACTGGACACACACTGGACATTTACTGACATTCAACCAGATGCAGGCACATCTTTGGGTATGCTAGCCATTCCCTCAAATGTAGGAACAATGTAAACACTGACTCAATGTAAACTGGACAAGACATCTTTGGATATAAAATGACAAGCACCAGTGGGATGTAAACCCCAGACATCTAGTAACTACTTACAATAACTGGTATGCTACACTTTATCAAAACATGAAAAAACTGACAAAAAGAGCAATCAGTAACAGAAAAATATAACATGAATAGAAAATCATCACAGTCCATAATTGAGTTGAATTGCTGCAGCATAAAGATCATGTTTCCCACACAAACCTCTCTCCACATCTACACAAGATGCCCAGGTCTCTCCACATCTACACAAGATGCCCAGGTCTCTCCACATCTACATGCCCAGGTCTCTCCACATCTACATGCCCAGGTCTCTCCACATCTACACAAGAACTGATGCCCAGGTCTCTCCACATCTACACAAGAAATGATGCCCAGGTCTCTCCACATCTACACAAGAACTGATGCCCAGGTCTCTCCACATCTACACAAGAAATGATGCCCAGGTCTCTCCACATCTACATGCCCAGGTCTCTCCACATCTACACAAGATGCCCAGGTCTCTCCACATCTACACAAGAAATGATGCCCAGGTCTCTCCACATCTACACAAGAACTGATGCCCAGGTCTCTCCACATCTACATGCCCAGGTCTCTCCACATCTACACAAGATGCCCAGGTCTCTCCACATCTACACAAGAAATGATGCCCAGGTCTCTCCACATCTACACAAGATGCCCAGGTCTCTCCACATCTACACAAGAAATGATGCCCAGGTCTCTCCACATCTACACAAGATGCCCAGGTCTCTCCACATCTACACAAGAACTGATGCCATGTCCTAAGCCTAGGCTGGTCCTCCATCACACAGATGGTGATGCTACTTCAACCAGAACACTGTGCTCACTGGGTGCCAGGCAAGTGTCACATCAATTCCTTGTGATGTGATGGAATCCAGGAGAACACTTGTCACAATATGATCAAGCTAGATCCATGCGTATCCGTGTGTATCCCATGAGGATATTTGTCTCGATGGGATCCAGCTAAATCCATGGCTATCAGTGTGTATCCACCATATGCACTTGAACATTAGCTAGCATGCTATGTGGACTATGTTCAGTGATGCCCAGTACAGTGGTGCCTCCACTGTAGGGTAAAATTGTTTGTTCAGGTATAGCTGAATATGTAGAGGTAGGTAAACGAGTTTGGGGAGGGGTGGGGCTCCGACTCCGCCTAGAATATGACTGTGGGGGTGGGGGGAGAACAGGAGGTTTACACAGTGACAGTGTGTGCCCTGTAGGTCTGAATCTGTCTTTGCCGATGGACAAGGGGTCAAGACAGGGCATGGAGGCGTGCTCGCTGTCTTCATGTGGGGTCATTGTGCTGTAGCCGTGGTCACTGTCCCCACCAGCAGGACGTCTGTATGATGTGTTGACGCGGTACGGAGAAACACTGGCAGGGTTCTCAAACGACGCCAGGACAAAGTTGGTGTGACCTACAAAAACAAGAGGAAATATCTCATTAGCTACAATTTAAAAAAAAAAAAACTCAAATAAATAGTGACTTAAGAAAACTAAAAACTTGAGTTGAAAAGTATCCACTCAAATAAATAGTGACTTAAGAAAACTAAAAACTTGAAAAGTGTCCACTCAAATAAATAGTGACTTAAGAAAACAAAAAACTTGAAAAGTATCCACTCAAATAAATAGTGACTTAAGAAAACTAAAAACTTGAAAAGTGTCCACTCAAATAAATAGTGACTTAAGAAAACTAAAAACTTGAGTTGAAAAGTGTCCACTCAAATAAATAGTGACTTTCACTTAAGAAAACTAAAAACTTCAGTTGAAAAGTATCCACTCAAATAAATAGTGACTTAAGAAAACAAAAAACTTGAAAAGTATCCACTCAAATAAATAGTGACTTAAGAAAACAAAGAACTTGAAAAGTATCCACTCAAATAAATAGTGACTTAAGAAAATTAAAAAGTTGACAAGTGTCCACTCAAATAAATAGTGACTTAAGAAAACAAAAAACTTAAAAAGTGTCCACTCAAATAAATAGTGACTTAAGAAAACTAAAAACTTGAAAAGTGTCCACTCAAATAAATAGTGACTTAAGAAAACTAAAAACTTGAGTTGAAAAGTGTCCACTCAAATAAATAGTGACTTAAGAAAACAAAAAACTTGAAAAGTATCCACTCAAATAAATAGTGACTTAAGAAAACAAAGAACTTGAAAAGTATCCACTCAAATAAATAGTGACTTAAGAAAACAAAAAACTTGAAAAGTATCCACTCAAATAAATAGTGACTTAAGAAAACAAAAAACTTGAAAAGTATCCACTCAAATAAATAGTGACTTAAGAAAACAAAAAACTTGAAAAGTATCCACTCAAATAAATAGTGACTTAAGAAAACAAAAAACTTGAAAAGTATCCACTCAAATAAATAGTGACTTAAGAAAACAAAAAACTTGAAAAGTATCCACTCAAATAAATAGTGACTTAAGAAAACAAAAAACTTGAAAAGTATCCACTCAAATAAATAGTGACTTAAGAAAACTAAAAACTTGAAAAGTGTCCACTCAAATAAATAGTGACTTAAGAAAACTAAAAACTTGAGTTGAAAAGTGTCCACTCAAATAAATAGTGACTTTCACTTAAGAAAACTAAAAACTTCAGTTGAAAAGTATCCACTCAAATAAATAGTGACTTTCACTTAAGAAAACTAAAAACTTCAGTTGAAAAGTATCCACTCAAATAAATAGTGACTTAAGAAAACAAAAAACTTGAAAAGTATCCACTCAAATAAATAGTGACTTAAGAAAACTAAAAACTTGAAAAGTGTCCACTCAAATAAATAGTGACTTAAGAAAACTAAAAACTTGAGTTGAAAAGTGTCCACTCAAATAAATAGTGACTTTCACTTAAGAAAACTAAAAACTTCAGTTGAAAAGTATCCACTCAAATAAATAGTGACTTTCACTTAAGAAAACTAAAAACTTCAGTTGAAAAGTATCCACTCAAATAAATAGTGACTTAAGAAAACTAAAAACTTGAAAAGTATCCACTCAAATAAATAGTGACTTAAGAAAACTAAAAACTTGAGTTGAAAAGTGTCCACTCAAATAAATAGTGACTTAAGAAAACTAAAAAATTTGAGTTGAAAAGTATCCACTCAAATAAATAGTGACTTAAGAAAACTAAAAAATTTGAGTTGAAAAGTATCCACTCAAATAAATAGTGACTTAAGAAAACAAAAAACTTGAAAAGTATCCACTCAAATAAATAGTGACTTAAGAAAACTAAAAAATTTGAGTTGAAAAGTATCCACTCAAATAAATAGTGACTTAAGAAATCTAAAAACTTGAAAAGTATCCACTCAAATAAATAGTGACTTAAGAAAAAACAAAAAACTTGACAAGTGTCCACTCAAATAAATAGTGACTTAAGAAAACTAAAAACTTGAAAAGTGTCCACTCAAATAAATAGTGACTTAAGAAAAAACAAAAAACTTGACAAGTGTCCACTCAAATAAATAGTGACTTAAGAAAACTAAAAACTTGAAAAGTGTCCACTCAAATAAATAGTGACTTAAGAAAACTAAAAAGTTGACAAGTGTCCACTCAAATAAATAGTGACTTAAGAAAACTAAAAACTTGAAAAGTATCCACTCAAATAAATAGTGACTTAAGAAAACAAAAAACTTGACAAGTGTCCCTGAGATGGACTCACATTCTCCAGCACTGAGGTCCTCTGCGGCCTCCTGATCCTCATCATTGTAGTAATGGGAGATCCTGTTGGTGGTGTCTGGGAGGGTGCTGATGTAGTGATGGCTGTGGCGGTGCACGTGGTGCCGGTAGCAGTACACCCCCAGGGCTAGCAGCAGAAAACATCCCATAATTCCTCCAGCCACTGGCCCTACTGGGGTACTTTTTACACCGGCCTGCTCTATACTCTCTACATCAGCTGCAATGTTAAGTTTAAGTCAGGTGAGGGGAGGGGAGTAAAGTTAATACAAAAGGTGAGGGGAGGGGAGTAAAGTTAACACAAAAGGTGAGGGGAGGGGAGTAAAGTTAACACAAAAGGTGAGGGGAGGGGAGTAAAGTTAACACAAAAGGTGAGGGGAGGGGAGTAAAGTTAACACAAAAGGTGAGGGGAGGGGAGTAAAGTTAACACAAAAGGTGAGGGGAGGGGAGTAAAGTTAACACAAAAGGTGAGGGGAGGGGAGTAAAGTTAACACAAAAGGTGAGGGGAGGGGAGTAAAGTTAACACAAAAGGTGAGGGGAGGGGAGTAAAGTTAACACAAAAGGTGAGGGGAGGGGAGTAAAGTTAACACAAAAGGTGAGGGGAGGGGAGTAAAGTTAACACAAAAGGTGAGGGGAGGGGAGTAAAGTTAACACAAAAGGTGAGGGGAGGGGAGTAAAGTTAACACAAAAGGTGAGGGGAGGGGAGTAAAGTTAACACAAAAGGTGAGGGGAGGGGAGTAAAGTTAACACAAAAGGTGAGGGGAGGGGAGTAAAGTTAACACAAAAGGTGAGGGGAGGGGAGTAAAGTTAACACAAAAGGTGAGGGGAGGGGAGTAAAGTTAACACAAAAGGTGAGGGGAGGGGAGTAAAGTTAACACAAAAGGTGAGGTGGCTAAAGTTTACATGAGATGAAATCAATTACAGGTGAGTTGAGTAAAGTTAACACAAAAGGTGAGGTGGCTAAAGTTTACATGTCAGGTGAGTTAAGTTTACTTGAGATGAAATTTATAACAGGTGAGGGGAGTAAAGTTGAATACTTGCTTACACAAACTACCGAAAGAGCCAGTTATTCACCAAAAGAAATCTTACCACTTATTTCATCCCCATAAGGGGAGTGGGCCCCTACATTAAACCAAAAGAAATCTTACCACTTATTTCATCCCCATAAGGGGAGTGGGCCCCTACAACTCCACCAAAAGAAATCTTACCACTTATTTCATCCCCATAAGGAGAGTGGGCCCCTACATTAAACCAAAAGAAATCTTACCACTTATTTCATCCCCATAAGGGGAGTGGGCCCCTACAACTCCACCAAAAGAAATCTTACCACTTATTTCATCCCCATAAGGGGAGTGGGCCCCTACAACTCCACCAAAACAGATCCTCTGTGATGAGCAGAATGGTGTCTCTAAAGGTGTTTTGCCATCTTTCTGTACTTGACACCACTGACAATCCATGACACCCATACAATCTCTACAACAAGCAACAAATACAAGTCAAGGTTTAACTTAATTACATGATGTAACCAACGTCTAGATTGAGCTAAAGATGTTGACTTACAATTTGTTTTTCCTCTTCTCACACTGAGGCTTGAAGCATTGCTCCAGCTCCTGTTTGAACACAGCTTCAGACAGCGCCAGTTTTTCTCTCTCAGGGTCATGGGGACAGCTGGGGTTTCTGGGAGTTACAACATTGGTTTCATCACATTTCATTTTTAAACTTGATATTTTGGTTGTATCACATTTCATTTTTTAAATTGGTGTTATAGATTGATCACATTTCATTTTTAAATTTGGTGTTTTAGATTTTCATTTTTTTAATTTTTATCAAGTTTAATTTTTAAAATATTCTGTAGGTTCCAATAAATATTTAGATTAAGTCAAATAATATTGTGACGTTGAAGGGATGTAACCCACAAAAAGGTTATTTAAAATTTTTTTTTTTCAAATTTCACAGAAATTTTAAAAGTGAAATAAAAAAATTTCTCTACCCAGTATCAAATGGCCGTAAATATTTCATTAGTGTATAATAAATGTAACTATATTTTGCATGTAAGTGTATTTGAGAAATAGCTCTACATTACAACAAGTTGACAATCAATAGAATCAGACCGTCTAGTGGGAGAGACTTACTTGTCATCACTGTCTAACAAATGACCACTGCAGAAGTCCATCTCTAGAGGACACTCACATGGACACTCACACTCTGTCTGCTCCATACGCTTGCAGTTCAAACAGAGGCGATCATACTGTCAAAACATTTTTGTTCACATTATGGTTACAGGAGAATAATGAAAAATCTTGTATATGTGAAAAGTTGACACTGACTAATGTTGACAATGACTAATGTTGAGACTGACTAGAGAAGAAAAAAAAGCCTACCATTGTATATGTGAAGTGTTGAGACTGACTAAAGAAGACAAAAGCCTACCATTGTATATGTGAAGTGTTGAGACTGACTAATGTTGAGACTGACTAAAGAAGACAAAAGCCTACCATTGTATATGTGAAGTGTTGACACTGACTAATGTTGAGACTGACTAAAGAAGACAAAAGCCTACCATTGTATATGTGAAGTGTTGAGACTGACTAATGTTGAGACTGACTAAAGAAGACAAAAGCCTACCATTGTATATGTGAAGTGTTGAGACTGACTAATGTTGAGACTGACTAAAGAAGACAAAAGCCTACCATTGTATATGTGAAGTGTTGAGACTGACTAATGTTGAGACTGACTAAAGAAGACAAAAGCCTACCATTGTATATGTGAAGTGTTGAGACTGACTAATGTTGAGACTGACTAAAGAAGACAAAAGCCTACCATTGTATATGTGAAGTGTTGAGACTGACTAATGTTGAGACTGACTAAAGAAGACAAAAGCCTACCATTGTATATGTGAAGTGTTGAGACTGACTAAAGAAGAAGACAAAAGCCTACCATTATATATGTGAAGTGTTGAGACTGACTAAAGAAGGAGAAAAAGCCTACCATTGTATATGTGAAGTGTTGAGACTGACTAAAGAAGAAGACAAAAGCCTACCATTGTATATGTGAAGTGTTGAGACTGACTAAAGAAGAAGAAAAAGCCTACCATTGTATATGTGAAGTGTTGAGACTGACTAAAGAAGGAGAAAAAGCCTACCATTGTATATGTAAAGTGTTGAGACTGACTTAAGAAGACAAAAGCCTACCATTGTATATGTGAAGTGTTGAGGCTGACTAAAGAAGGAGAAAAAGCCTACCATTGTATATGTAAAGTGTTGAGACTGACTAAAGAAGGAGAAAAAGCCTACCATGCTGCAGGGACAAAAGGCTGTAGCTGTGTCGCAGGTGTGGTTGACAAGACCCAGGAATGCGTTGGTACCAGGGATGTGGGTGATCTGAAATAATCATTTGTGTGGGCGTCAGACACAGGGCAGGTAACACTACATCAAAATCTTAGAACAAACATTTTTTTTCATAAAACAACGAAAAACAGAGCTGTATTTAGTAATCAAAACTGTATCTGTATCACTGCAGCCCCAATAAGTTACCACCAAAGCTACTAACCCAGGTACACAAGGCATCCTTAAAACTTACCTGATACCTAACACACTGCTCCCCATAAGTTACTAACACAGCTACACTAGCCCAGGTACACAAGGCATCTATAAAACTTACCTGATACCTAGCACACTGCTCCCCATAAGTTAACAACAAAGCTACACTAGCCCAGGTACACAAGACATCTATAAAACTTACCTGATACCTAGCACACTGCTCCCCATGCACCAGGTTGGTCAATACCCCAATGAAGCTTGTATTGAACTGAAATATTGTCATTAAACAAACAATTAATATTACTTACTCTATAATTTTATATTAGTAATTTTTTAAACACATGTATAGATCTGATTAAAACCAAGTGAAGTCTATAGTAAGTGTATAGTCAAGAGCTTACTGTGAAGTATCTCTGCACTGTACGATCATTGTATCTGTTACACAACTTCTTCTGTACAAAGCCACGATGGTTGAGGATGTCATTAGCAACCAAAGGTTCCTGTATAGAAAGAGATGAACACACCTTAGATAGAAGTCTCCATTAGTTCTTATTGAAATAGCACATCTTGTGAGAAAGTTATGCCTTAGCTACAAGTCTCCATTAGTTCTTATTGAAATAGCACATCTTGTGAGAAAGTTAGCTACAAGTCTCCATTAGTTCTTATTAAAATAGCACATCTTATGAGAAAGTTAGCCACAAGTTTCCATTAGATGTTAATTAATCAACACATCTAGTTAGTGAATGCACCCACCAGGTGTGTGATGTGTCGCTGCTCTGCTGGTCCCTTCCCTGTGGGGTCTATCAGTCCTGGGTGGGCGATGAGGTATCCCTTGTCATCCATTAGGAAACACCTGGGTGGGAAATCTCATGTTAGCATTTTTAGACTCTGGTCATAGGGAACTGTAACACAGCTGTCATTCAACTCAAATACAGACAGGACAGATATTAGACTCAACAAGCTGACAGACTGACATTGGTTTCACAAACATTAGACTGACGTCACCCCCCCCACCTAGGTCTGATGTACCCCTTTGTCCAACCTGACCTCTCTTCCACCCCTCCTCCCACCCTGACATGTATTAGACTGGCCTGACACCCCCCCCCTAGCTTGACAAATACTTACTTGACCCACTTGGTCCAACATAGATGAACCTGACCCCCCCCCCCAGTATGACAGATATTAGACTGACCTGACCCCCCCCCCCCTCACTCCCAGTCTGACAGATATTAGACTGACCTGACCCCCTTGGTCTCACAAGGCTTGATGTTGGCAGCCAGCAGCTTGTGGAAGTAGCCCAGGGTGATGTCCATACCCATGACAGCCACAACTTTATCCAGGGGACTGTGTAAAGATGCTGGTCTATAGGGGATGGTAAGTAGGCTCATGGTTAAAGCTTGAATTAAGTAAGTCAATAGGGGACTGTGTAAAGATGCTGGTCTATAGGGGATGGTAAGTAGGCTCATGGTTAAAGCTTGAATTAAGTAAGTCAATAGGGGACTGTGTAATGATGCTGGTCTATAGGGGATGGTAAGTAGGCTCATGGTTAAAGCTTGAATTAAGTAAGTCAACAGGGGACTGTGTAATGATGCTGGTCTATAGGGGATGGTAAGTAGGCTCATGGTTAAAGCTTGAATTAAGTAAGTCAACAGGGGACTGTGTAAAGATGCTGGTCTATAGGGGATGGTAAGTAGGCTCATGGTTAAAGCTTGAATTAAGTAAGTCAATAGGGGACTGTGTAATGATGCTGGTCTATAGGGGGTGGTAAGTAGGCTCATGGTTAAAGCTTGAATTAAGTAAGTCAACAGGGGACTGTGTAATGATGCTGGTCTATAGGGGATGGTAAGTAGGCTCATGGTTAAAGCTTGAATTAAGTAAGTCAACAGGGGACTGTGTAATGATGCTGGTCTATAGGGGATGGTAAGTAGGCTCATGGTTAAAGCTTGAATTAAGTAAGTCAACAGGGGACTGTGTAATGATGCTGGTCTATAGGGGATGGTAAGTAGGCTCATGGTTAAAGCTTGAATTAAGTAAGTCAACAGGGGACTGTGTAATGATGCTGGTCTATAGGGGATGGTAAGTAGGCTCATGGTTAAAGCTTGAATTAAGTAAGTCAACAGGGGACTGTGTAAAGATGCTGGTCTATAGGGGATGGTAAGTATGGTGAGTCAACAGACTATAGTGATCTCACAAGTTACAGACTACAATTACAACCTACAGGTGTCATCAACACTACAGCTTGTGTTGCTGTACTATCTCACACATTACAAGTATGATAATGATAACCTTGCATGCTAATGTTTACATAATGTAAAAGGTGCTGTTCATGTGAGTACTTACTTTCCTTCAAATATGGTGTGACTAATGGTGACAATGTAGCCAGCACCACCTATATCTAAGTACGGAGCTGACAAAGTCACATGACCTGGATGCTCCATTGCTCTTGTGTACCTAAAAGACAAAAACAAAGCAAGTCAATGCTAGATCTACTACCATTAGAACATTGTTACATCAGATTGTACAAGACATAAAAAATATAATAAAAGGATTGCCTTACCATTCTCTTTTGGTGGGATCAAACATCTTGTCTAGCAGAGTGCCAGGAAATGTTCGCAGGACACCACTGGGTGTGCTGACATACCTGGATAATAACAAAAGAGTTAGAAAAACGCCACTCATTTCTTTTTAACCAAAGTACTCTGGACATGTATGTGGGTGGGATTACCTTCGGACAATGTAGTCATTGAGGTCACTAGCCTTGAATCTTCTCAGCCAGTCCTCGCTGATACGTCCTGTTGCAGCTACGTCGTTACGTACTTGGGACTAGTAAGACGAACAAGTGAAACATACAATCAGTTAAACATCATTGGTCCTAAACACATGAAAATCTTTAAAAAAGATATAAAAAATAATACGAGTAAAGGGTATCATCAAAAGTTAAGTATGACAGTAGATTGTACTCATGTAGAAAAAAAGAATGAGCCAGTGAAGAAGGCATGAATGTACCTTAAGTCCTGGGTTGGTGATAAGCCTGGTGTCATCCTTGAGATATGCTATGTAGCTTTGAATGGTCCTCTTAGTTTCTTCCTCACTCAGATGTTCAAATGGGTTGATGAAGCTATTGGCTGACAGAAATACTGTGTTCATCTCTGTATTATGGGAGAAATTCATTAGTTCAGAACTTATATAACAACAGCAATTTTCCATCTCTAATTGAAACTTTGAAATTGTAAAAAAAAAAATTCATATTGATAACAAAGTAGAAGTGTGTCAGAGTAAATATGATTTAATGTAAGCGTTTGTGTGGTTTTATTCGGTGAGTGAGTCCTACATGAAGCAAGAGTTACCTGGTGTAGACAGCTGCTTGAGATGGTAGCACATCTTGCCATTGGGGAACAGGTCCAGCCTGTGGTACACCAGCTCAGGTTGGTTGTGCACTGGAGAAATAGTCATGTGGGTTTTACATTAGATCAACATTCGCAACTTACTGCTGTAATTACATGGGTTTTACATTAGATCAACATTCACAACTTACTGCTGTAATTACATGGGTTTTACATTAGATCAACATTCACAACTTACTGCTGTAATTACATGGGTTTTACATTAGATCAACATTCACAACTTACTGCTGTAATTACATGGGTTTTACATTAGATCAACATTCACAACTTACTGCTGTAATTACATGGGTTTTACATTAGATCAACATTCACAACTTACTGCTGTAATTACATGGGTTTTACATTAGATCAACATTCACAACTTACTGCTGTAATTACATGGGTTTTACATTAGATCAACATTCACAACTTACTGCTGTAATTACATGGGTTTTACATTAGATCAACATTCACAACTTACTGCTGTAATTACATGGGTTTTACATTAGATCAACATTCACAACTTACTGCTGTAATTACATGGGTTTTACATTAGATCAACATTCACAACTTACTGCTGTAATTACATGGGTTTTACATTAGATCAACATTCACAACTTACTGCTGTAATTACATGAGTTCTACATTAGATCAACATTCACAAGTCTAGTTCATGAGAATATTAACACCATTTAAACCAGATGCACCACACTTAAATTAATATCCTACAATAACTTACTTAAAACATTTTTTAGCTGTTTCTGCTCCTTTTTCTCATAATAGGACTTGATAACAACAATGAATGGTACTGCCTCCACCTGATGGAAAAGATACAAAGATTATTCTAGGGCCTTATGGTGAACACTGTAATACTGTTTGTTGATCAACATCTCCATACATATAAAAGGTATAAAAGAAAACCTACCTTCTTCCATACATATCTAGCTGTATGCTCCACAAGGAATGATTGGCCATCTATCCCTGTCTGATTGGTGATACGCAGGACAAGGCTGATGTTTCCATCATCTTCACTAGAGGGACACAATAACATCAGATAAAGGGTCACAATAACAGCAGATAAAGGGACACAAAAATAATATCAAACAGAGGTCACAATAACACAAGTTAGAGGGACACAATAACATCAGATAAAGGGTCACAATATTCTCAGGACATTCTTTACAATTTCATGTTTTATCTTTTGTAAATAATAATATTTTAACTGGCACATTTATTAAGACTAAATTCACTTGTAAACAAACTGTTATTGTTAGGTAGATTCTACCATCAAGTAAAGTATAGCCTGAACCCAAGTTTGACTATTCAGAGTTTATCTCCTGTCTACCTAGACAGAACAACACCAACAAGTGGTCCATAGAACTGGTTGAACAAAAAAATAAACTGGCTGTGAACTAACCTCAGTATTGCTTGTCTGATTTCTAAAAATCCAGAATGCTGCTCAAAATGTCGGATATCTGTGTGCATTGGTTGAACCCGTGTCCGAAGTGGTCGCTGAAAGGATGGGTGCATGATGGTGTAGCCTGTAAAATAAACAATGACAACAATTTTGAACATTTCAAACTTTAGCAAAATGATTCACAAAAATTTAGTTATATGGACCAAAGAATTTGATGGACAGAAGCAGCAAAGGTTTTAATAAACAGTCCAACCTTTGTATTCCGTACAACTTATTTCTATTAAAAAACATATTCCGCACAACTTAGATCTATTTAAAAACATTTTGTAGAACTTACATCTGTTTAAAAAACAAAGTGATGATGAGATTGAGAAAGTGATTTATTACCCTGTGAAGTGACAATGAAAGCATATGAGCTATCAGAATGGCTGTAGTAGGTGATATCCTGAGCCACATCCTCCATGTGTAGATCTACGCCCACCAGTCCAATCAGGTGATGCAGGTCTGGTTTGTCAGGTAAAGTGTGCACACACGGTTGGCTTAGGCTCATCGTTAGGGCTGAAAGGTAGGTTGATTGGTACAAATGTTTGTTGGGGAGTACAACAATGATAGAGTTGGTAACAAGGTAATACAAGAATGGTAGAGTTGGTAAACATGAACTATCATAACATTACCAATTGAAGGGTAGTTGGACTTACCTCTGTCAGCCTCATCAATGTAAGGCAGGGAGAAGACAGGATCATCCTCTGCTGTACGGTTGAGTGGCAGGTAGAACCTGCCCACACTGGAACTCAGGTCTTGTGTGGAGTTGATGGCCATCATGATGCCACGCTGGGGACATAGGTTACAACTGATACAAACACATCAAGCATCAACACATCAGGTATCAACACATCAAGTATCAACACATCAAGTATCAACACATCAAGTATCAACACATCAAGTATCAACACATCAAGTATCAACACATCAAGTATCAACACATCAAGTATCAACACATCAAGTATCAACACATCAAGTATCAACACATCAAGTATCAACACATCAAGTATCAACACATCAAGTATCAACACATCAAGTATCAACACATCAAGTATCAACACATCAAGTATCAACACATCAAGTATCAACACATCAAGTATCAACACATCAAGTATCAACACATCAAGTATCAACACATCAAGTATCAACACATCAAGTATCAACACATCAAGTATCAACACATCAAGTATCAACACATCAAGTATCAACACATCAAGTATCAACACATCAAGTATCAACACATCAGGTATCAACACATCAAGTATCAACACATCAAGTATCAACACATCAAGTATCAACACATCAAGTATCAACACATCAAGTATCAACATATCAAGTATCAACACATCAAGTATCAACACATCAAGTATCAACACATCAAGTATCAACACATCAAGTATCAACACATCAAGTATCAACACATCAAGTATCAACACATCAAGTATCAACACATCAAGTATCAACACATCAAGTATCAACACATCAAGTATCAACACATCAAGTATCAACACATCAAGTATCAACACATCAAGTATCAACACATCAAGTATCAACACATCAAGTATCAACACATCAAGTATCAACACATCTGCACAGTAAACATCACTTAACCATTGTTCAGAGATTGAAAGAAAAGAAAATTGTTCTCGCTATGATGTAGTTTGTTGATAAAAATAGCTATTTCTGACAATCATACTTACAATGACAGGAGTTTTGAGGCGATATTGGACATCATATTTAGCAAAGTGCTGATAGGCCACATCTTTCAAGAAACTCTTCTCATACATTATGGTCTTACCATCTGCAAATAGAAAGTACAAAGCTTATTAAAGTAGATCAAGGTTAGTTTTAATTGAATAATTCTATTCATTTTGAATATCTTTACCCTTAACTCAGCTAGATTATAAAGAGTTCATTGTAAAAGAATATATTGTTTAAGAGCCTACCATCAATGACAGCGTAGGTGTTGATGATAACTTTGTGCCCAGTTTTAGCATTATGTATGGCTACCACTTCCATGACCTCTCTGGCTTCTGTCAGTGAGGACAGCAGTCCCCTGCTCACATACAGGATCATGGCATTGTCTAACATAGGGAGAGAGAAAAAATTCTTCAATCACTGACCATCCTACACACTTTGTAAGCTTGGTACATCTTATTTCATGATGCTGTGTTTTTAATTTAGCAGCTGGTGTTGCTTAATACAAATACTCAAACAACTGTCTCGCAAGTACAGTTTATGACTAACCTGAAATGGAGTTCTCTATCATTAAATTCTCTATCATCTCAAATGCCCTCAAAAATCCAAGAGTATGGTTTGTTGTTGCTGAAAAGAAAAGAACGGTTGTCTTAAACATGTGTGCCTAGAATAGTGGCGTGAAAGAGTTAAATTAATCTAAGCCCAAATATTAAAGTAAACCTGTAAAATAAGAAAAGAAATGACTTACTTTCAACCTTCTCCAGATTGTCAATGAATTTACTAAAATAAAATCTGGTCTCAAAGGTGGCAGGTACCATGGTGTGTGGAAGACAGGGGTCAGATCTGGGATACAGGGGCTTGTTGGTCAGTCCTATCACTCCAATCTAAAGGGTGAGATGAGAACAAGAGTTGTCATTACAAATATCACTTGCCTGTGTTAGGGGATACAGATTCTCATCATGCAACTTGTTTAGAGCTCTACACAAGTGATTTAATTGTAAAGCTTACCCTGTCATTGTCAGAAAAAGATGCAATCAGGTGCTTCGTGATTGCCTTAGCTGTGGTAAGTTGAGTTGGGCTCATAGAAATACCATGATCCATGAGGATTACAACATACTTTCTCTGGGGCTGTATGGTTCGGAGGAACACATCTCTGTGGAGGATAAAGTTCACATGCCTGACTTTAATCATGTACTCAACTGATACTCAAAATCTGAGTTCACATGCCTGACTTTAATCATGTACTCAACTAATACTCAAAATATGAGTTCACATGCCTGACTTTAATCATGTACTCAACTGATACTCAAAATCTGATCAAGTTCACATGCCTGACTTTAATCATGTACTCAACTGATACTCAAAATCTGATCAAGTTCACATGCCTGACTTTAATCATGTACTCAACTAATACTCAAAATCTGAGTTCACATGCCTGACTTTAATCATGTACTCAACTAATACTCAAAATATGAGTTCACATGGCTGACTTTAATCATGTACTCAACTGATACTCAAAATCTGATCAAGTTCACATGCCTGACTTTAATCATGTACTCAATAACTGATACTCAAAATCTGATCAAGTTCACATGCCTGACTTTAATCATGTACTCAATAACTGATACTCAAAATCTGATCAAGTTCACATGCCTGACTTTAATCATGTACTAAATAACTGATACTCAAAATCTGATCAAGTTCACATGTTTGACTTTAATCATGTACTCAACTGATACTCAAAATCTGATCAAGTTCACGTGCCTGACTTTAATCATGTACTCAACTGATACTTAAAATCTGATCAAGTTCACATGCCTGACTTTAATCATGTACTCAACTGATACTCAAAATCTGATCAAGTTCACATGCCTGACTTTAATCATGTACTCAACTGATACTCAAAATCTGATCTTCAAAAATTTTACAAATCTAGCCTATCTTTAAAGAAAATGCCTTGAAAATGACCTTAAATAAAATTCATTGAAAACAAAATAAACATGTCCCCATGATAATCTCAACTGGAAGATAACTAGATCTAGTGTTTTTTTTTATAACATGTTTTGTAATCTGAACATATATAGTACTGGGGTAGAATTAAACTTTCACTTCCATACTACCATTAGTAAAAAAGCTAAATATAAATGCCCATATTGGTTTATTTTTTCAAGGTGATCCATCTGTCAGTATAAGATTGATACACAAAATAAATAATTCGATGTAAAAGTTCTCTTTGATGTTTCTCTCTAGCAGAGTTTTTTGTGCTGGTGATAAAAATGTTTGTGCAGGTGGGCCATGAATGCTATTAATCATCTTTCTACTGGCTGGCTTTGATGTGTGCTAGAGTTTTTCTATTCACACATCAAAATGCACATTGTTTTATTGCTTGCTTTTTTCTTGCCAGACTTCTATTAGCATGTTACAGGAGATGGGTGGGGAGAGGGGTACGGGAGGGTAGGGGAGAGATGAAAGAAAAGTATTACTGGGACACAAACCCTTGCACCAAGACACAGAATTAGCAATTTATGTCATTTATTATAATAACACATTCAACACAAATAATTGATAAACACTGGAAAAAAACCAAAGGACAGTTTTGATATTTTTGTTAGATATACAATTAAGTTTGTTGTTCAAGAAAATGAATGCATGCTGTTCATCAAAAACAAATTCTCATAACAAAGGAGAAATAAACAATCCAGATGTAATTACATTCCTGCTTACAGGTATGCTAAATTACATTTTAGAGAAAGCTTCTTTATGTTTTATTTCTAAATTCTTACAAATCTTTATATACTGACAGTCCAAATATACCATTTTTAAATACAACTAGTTGAAATAATGTTTCACTAAGTAGTAAAAGTGCTCAACTTCTCTGTTCATTTTAAAATTAACTTTAAAAACAAAACTCTGTTGTTTGTAAGGATAAGATTTTGGTTACTAACTGCTGCAACCAGTCAAATTTCTAAAGATAACTGGACTTATATGATACAGGTATAGTACTAAAAACCAGCCAATCATATTTCTAAATGCAGGTTGATACAGAAGACTAGCCAATGTAAAACAAAGCTAGGCAAGTTAGTGCTGTGTTCCCCACCTTCCCTGCCCACTCTAGCACAAAGCTGTGCTGTACATGGCCCAACATCAAAGACATTCTCACTGTTTCAACTATTGATTTGCCAGCCATGGTCTGGCCTCTAGACCTGTAGGAGCACCACATGTACTAGGGTGGGGGGTGGGGGGGGGGGAGGAGTTATAGTTCACCGTTCTACTGGGGGGAGGGGGGATACACATGACATGGATGGTGTACAGTAATAAAGTGTGTGGTAGCACACAGAAGGTATACAGTAAAGTTTGGGAGGCACATGGTAGGTGTTGAGTATTAATACCCCTATTGAAGTGGGGTAGTACATAAAAAGTGTACAGTAATAGTGCACTGCTTCAGTGGGGGAGGGGGGCACATGGAAGGTGTAGAGTAATAATACACACTGCTACAAGATAAGTTCAAGCCACTTTTAATAGAGAGTATAGACTACAAGAGAACTACTAACACCCTTCCTTATACAAGCAGGTTGAAAGTTTACACTACAGAATTTTTTTTTCTCCCTCTTACTATCAAATGCTAGTTTTTATAATTAAAAAAAAAAGTAGTGAACAGCGTAGGCAGGCGATCTGAAATGAGTTTCCCCATAAGAGCGATAAGAAATGTATTCTTTTGAAGTTGAAAGTGGCGACTTGAGAAAACAAAGAGATGAATTGTGGGGCTTAATAAATCACATTTTCTTCGCCCTCTTTGATGCCTCGTTTTCTGCCTGTACAGATTCGAGATTAAACAACGCCGGGACACGACTGATCTATGTTACAAGTTGCCTTTTAGGTCCGTGGATCACTTGCCTGACCTTTTCTTCTCTTCACTTCAAGTTGGTAAATGTACAGTCTGATCCACGACATGATCAAAACAAGCGCGGCTTGGATCGCTTGGCTTACACCAGTTCGCGGCCGGCTCAGTATTTACATAATGGCAATTATTTCTAGGAGATTACGGCAGTAGCACAACATTTGAAAGAGATTATTTACATGTGAAATGCTTTCCATAACGTTGAAATGGGTTAGAGGGGAGTCACTCTACTTTCGTCAACACGTAGAAAGCGGGCAAGTCAATTGTACCTTGCTCACCAACGTGAAACAAAAGAACTAACGCTAGACTAAGTCAGGTTTTACAAAGGGAATGGGCGGGTCTTCACTTAAACATTTCCAGTACTCTATAAAAAAAAATGTCCACCAACGAAGAGAGAAAGAATAGGGGTGGAAGGGGGGGGGGAGGTAAACAATGTAAACGGAAAGATTTCTATTTTCGATTCGTTGGTCGAACTAAACTGGGGTTTGAAAACAGGCTAGATCTAGTAGAATATGTGGAGATTATAAACAGCATGTAAAGTATATCAGCGGCTCCATGTAAAGTATATCATCAGTGGCTCCATGTAAAGTATATCATCAGTGGCCCCATGTAGTATATAAACAGTGGCTCCATGTAAAGTATATCAGCGGCTACATAATGATCCCCTTCGTGTAGAGTTGAGAGTGGGATAAAACTAGCCCATAAGGTCTACATCCGCTGATATAAGTCGACTACATGAATGAGTCCAGCGATGGGCCTGCTGAATTATGTTAGGAGCCAGGAGAAGAGCCGCAGAAAACGGCTCCGTTTGATCAACACAAGCAGATATCAAAAGACACAAGAGGAAACAGCCCGCTAACATTAGCCCGGCTTGTTTTACAAAGAAATTGGTTTCTGCATTAAAAAGCCCACAAAACTAGGATAAAATAAATAAAACCTTTGAAGAGGGGATCAAACTCCTTAGCGAGAGTGGGAAAGGGGGGGCTGGGGAGGTAGCAGGAGTAATCTGTAAACACAGACTGACTTTAGAAAAAGTTTAATCCGTGCTATGTCGGGAGGGGGGGGGGGGGGCAGTTTGTACTTGTGTGCGCGTCAATAAAACTGTAAAGGGAGTGGGTGGGCAGGGTTGTATAAGACTAGAACCCACATGAAAACTCTCTTTTCTACAGCCAAACCAAACGGTTTGGAAAGTAATGATAGGGGAGAGAGGAAAAAAAAGAGCATAAAAGAATGGAGAAAATGATAAAACAGAAGTTCCCTTTCATCCTTCCTTCCCTTGAGTCGCTGAGCGCACCTCAAACGGCGCGTTAGTGTTAAGTGATGTTGTGCTTGCTAGACTCAAGGAAGGCAGTATCCTTTCATCCATTCGGCTCACCAGAGCAGCTGCTAGACATTTCATCTTCAGATGTACAGCTACATTAGCTAGCGCTCACATTTTATGGCTACATTTGCTACCGTCAACATGGTGTGACTACAGTCGCTACCGCTGTGATTGCACTGCCGTGTAAACTGACGTGCTTCCAGTCCAATTCACCTTTAGTTTTTGTTTAGATTTGCGTACAACTCGGGCAAACAATGCTTGGATCTATGCTGGTGGTAGCTACTTCATATATAAACTAACCGTCACTGATACTAAGCCATTGTCAAACACCAAACTTTAACACCATTACGACACCATATTTTAACACCACCCAGATAGACACCATGTTTTAACACCACCCTTACAGACACCATATTTTAACACCACCCACACAGACACCATGTTTTAACACCACTCACACAGCCACCATGTTTTAACACCACCCACACAGACACCATATTTTAACACCACCCACACAGACACCATATTTTAACACCACCCACACAGACACCATATTTTAACACCACTCACACAGCCACCATGTTTTAACACCACCCACACAGACACCATATTTTAACACCACTCACACAGACACCATATTTTAACACCACCCACACAGACACCATATTTTAACACCACTCACACAGCCACCAAACCTCTAAAGCAACATAAAACTTGGAGCTATCAGCCCAGCGTATGATAAAGCGAGAAGCGGGAGGGAATGACCAGAATCCAGGTCAATCAAGAGCAGGAGGCCTGAGTCAATTTTCCGTAGCAGCAGGAGGGTTCCCATTCAGATCTCTTGTTGCCTCGTGCTAGCACAAACACGAGAATACAACAGGCCGCCCCCCCCCCCCCCTCCCTACACCGTGCCAGACACGCCACACCAACCAGCGCAGGACAACTTACAATCATAAATTACAAAACCCACCACACCAACTAGTAGAGGACAACTTACAATCATAAATTACAAAACCCACCTCACCAACTAGCAGAGGACAACTTACAATCATAAATTACAAAACCCGGCACATCAACTAGTAGAGGACAACTTACAATCATAAATTACAAAACCCGCCACATCAACTAGCAGAGGACAACTTACAATCATAAATTACAAGACCCGCCACCCAATCTAGCAGAGGATAACTTACAATTACAATCATAAATTACAAAACCCGCCACACCAACTAGTAGAGGACAACTTACAATCATAAATTACAAGACCCGCCACCCAATCTAGCAGAGGATAACTTACAATTACAATCATAAATTACAAAACCCGCCACACCAACTAGTAGAGGACAACTTACAATCATAAATTACAAAACCCGCCACCCAATCTAGCAGAAGATAACTTACAATCATAAATTACAAAACCCGCCACACCAACTAGTAGAGGACAACTTACAATCATAAATTACAAGACCCGCCACACCAACTAGTAGAGGACAACTTACAATCATAAATTACCAAACCCCACCACCCAATCTAGTAGAGGACAACTTACAATCATAAATTACAAAACCCCACCACCCAATCTAGTAGAGGACAACTTACAATCATAAATTACAAAACCCGCCACCCAATCTAGCAGAGGACAACTTACAATCATAAATTACAAAACCCCACCACCCAATCTAGCAGAGGACAACTTACAATCATAAATTACAAAACCCCACCACCCAATCTAGTAGAGGACAACTTACAATCATAAATTACAAAACCCGCCACACCAACTATCGTAAGATTACCCCTTGATACAATCATTCACAAATTCACTAACTGTCCATTTATTTCATCCGTAGGCCTACTCCCCACCCCGTTATTGCTTAACAGTTACCCTCACATTAAGCCATTCCCTCACTATTACCCTCACATTCAGCCATTCCCTCACTATTACCCTCACATTAAGCCATTCCCTCACTGCCACCATCACATTAAGCCATTCCCTCACTATTACCCTCACATTCAGCCATTCCCCCCACAGCTACCCTCACTATCAGCCACTCTCTCACTGCCACCATCACATTCAGCCATTCCCTTACAGTTACCCTCACATTCAGCCATCCCCCCCCCCCACAGTTACCCTCACATTCAGCCATTCCCTCGCTGCCACCCTCACATTCTGTTACTCCCACTGATTCTGCCTTCTCTTATCCAATACTTTTATTTGTGTGGTTATCTCTGCCATAATTGACACGTTTTCATTACAAAACCACATAGAAAATACACAATTCAAAAAGGCATTAACTAAATGGGAATGAAATAGGAAAGACTCCTATGTTAAAAGACTAGAAAATAAAGGTGCCTAGTGTTGGGAGCGGGTGTAACAGAGTATGGAATACCAAAGAGCCATGTGTACAATAAAATAGACTGGGAAGAAAACTCAGTGTTAAGGTCTGCCTTCAAGACCTGTACAATGAATGGTCATGATATCACCAGCCTGCACCTGCATTGTATCATGGATGTATTTGGGTAGCTTACATATGCATTGTATCATGAATGTAATGGCCAACTTACATGTGCCTTGTATCATGAAGGTAATGGCCAACTTACATGTGCCTTGTATCATGAAGGTAATGGCAAGCTTACATCTGCCTTGTATCATGAATGTAATGGCCAGCTTACATCTGCATTGTATCATTAATGTAATGGCCAGCTTACATGTGCCTTGTATCATGAATGTAATGGCCAGCTTACATGTGAATTGTATCATGAATGTAATGGGCAGCTTACATGTGCCTTGTATCATTAATTTAATGGGCAGCTTACATGTGCCTTGTATCATGAATGTAATGGGCAGCTTACATGTGCCTTGTATCATTAATTTAATGGGCAGCTTACATGTGAATTGTATCATGAATGTAATGGCCAACTTACATGTACTTTGTATCATGAATATGATGGGCAGCTTACATGTGCCTTATAGAATGATTGAATACAATGACCAGCTTACCTGTGCCTAGTATCATGAATATTATTGCAATCCTTAGGTCCTGATGTATCACACATATTGCTAAAGCTATTGGCTGGATATTCATTGTGTAGTCCCTCCATGCTGATAAAATATTGCCATTTTAAGCTAGGGAAGTACTGGACATTGCTGCGCCAAACTGAAACAACGAATTTTCAGTCAAATTAAAAAGAACAAAAGGTGTATGAGTTTACAGTCACACTGAGATATGACAAAATTAATGAATTAATAAAGAACAAAGATGGAAAAGGTAAAAATTTTTTTAATTTAGAGAGAAGAAAGCCATGGCTAGATAGCTTGTGGGGTGTGTATTTGTTGTGTGTGGGGGTGTATTAGTTGTGGGGGTGTTATTTGTGGGGTTGTATTAGTTGGGGCTGTTACTTGTGGGGGGGGGTGTTTATTACTTGTGGGGGGTGTAATAGTTGTGTGTGTATTACTTGTGTGTGGGGTGTGTATTAGTTGTGTGTGGGGTGTGTATTAGTTGTGTGTGGGGTGTGTATCACTTGCATGTGGGGTGTGTATGTGTGAAACATTGATCCCACTACTTGATGTTTGAGCACACAACAGGTAAAGCCATACCTCTGCCCGCCCCTCGCCCAGCTTTAATTGCATTCTTTGAAGTTAGCGTGAATTTATCAAAGAGGATGAAAGGGGAAATGGATAAAGCATAAGAGAGGGCTCAGCGGTAGGTGAGCGCTAAGATGTTTCCACACAAAAAGACACTCCGCCAGATAGGCTACACCGTTCAAAGGGTGAGCGCTATTTGTACCGGTACTTGCTCAAAGACTGGACCTAGTCGGCTGCTATGTGGGCCGTGCCTTTATCAAGTCAGAAAACTTAATCAGTGGCTGGATGGAAGAACCCCCGTGGGTGGGAAGCACTCTCGAGGGTGCTCAACTGCACGGGTAGTTGTTTCAACTGTACAGGCCAGGGTTTGAGCCGACCAACCCGTGCATACTGCAGTACGATCTGCCTTTATGACGGTTGGTTCAGAGCGAGCCTTTGATCCAAACACTCTCCAGCTGAATTAGCTAGCGGGACAGACAAACTGGGGAGGGGGGGGGGGGTGCGTCAATGTAATCCAAGCTCTTACATCTGTATTCGTGAGAAACATTTGTATTGAACCTCCTGGGGCGCGAGCTGAATAGAAAAACTAACTCTGTATAATCTACATTATGGCTTCAAACAAAGTATTCACATTTCAGCCACGTTCGAGGCATGTATCGACAAACCAAGTGCATTGGGTGTTTCTACAGCCCATGGCTGAATCTACCACCGTCCCGCTAGTGATGTAGCTCCACACAAGTGGGTAAATAAGTAAAAAAAAATTATCTACCGATCGCATCCATTGGCCAACATACACTTGTACTGCTATATATGTGATCAGTAGTGGGTTTGTTTCTGTTTTTAGAGATATGCTCAAGTGTTGGTTCTACAGATAGTAGACGAGATGAAAGAGACTATCTCAAGTTAGTGTGAACAGCGGCTACAGATAGGGAGTGGGGTGGGAGGGGGAGACGACCAGGGGTAGCTCCACATTGATCCGTCTCGTGTGAACTATAAAGTGATAACAGCGCGGAGATTAAAGCTTGCCATTTTGTCAACCCGTCCCGGCTACTGTAGCTCCATAGTGCTCTATGGCTAGTCTTACAGTGGTAGACTTTACGTCCTTAGTGCTCTATGGCTAGTCTTACAGTGGTAGATTTTACGTCCATAGTGCTCTATGGCTAGTCTTACAGGGGTAGACTTTACGTCCTTAGTGCTCTATGGCTAGTCTTACAGTGGTAGACTTTACGTCCTTAGTGCTCTATGGCTAGTCTTACAGGGGTAGACTTTACGTCCTTAGTGCTCTATGGCTAGTCTTACTGTGGTAGACTTTACGTCCTTAGTGCTCTATGGCTAGTCTTACAGGGGTAGACTTTACGTCCATAGTGCTCTATGGCTTACAGTGGTAAACTTTACGTCCATAGTGCTCTATCGCTAGTCTTACTGGGGTAGACTTTACGTCCATAGTGCTCTATGGCTTACAGTGGTAGACTTTACGTCCATAGTGCTCTATGGCTTACAGTGGTAACCTTTACGTCCATAGTGCTCTATCGCTAGTCTTACAGGGGTAGACTTTACGTCCATAGTGCTCTATGGCTAGTCTACACTGGTAGACTTTACGTCTATAGTGCTCTATGGCTAGTCTTACAGTGGCAGACTTTACGTCCATAGTGCTCTATGGCTTACAGTGGTAGACTTTACGTCCATAGTGCTCTATGGCTAGTCTACACTGGTAGACTTTACGTCCATAGTGCTCTATGGCTAGTCTACACTGGTAGACTTTACGTCCATAGTGCTCTATCGCTAGTCTTACAGGGGTAGACTTTACGTCCATAGTGCTCTATGGCTTACAGTGGTAGACTTTACGTCCATAGTGCTCTATCGCTAGTCTTACATGGGTAGACTTTACGTCCATAGTGCTCTATCGCTAGTCTTACAGTGGCAGACTTTACGTCGTTAGTGCTCGATTTTGTCTACCAAGTTACCAGCAGACAAGAAAAATCCTCCCCCCCCCCCCCTTGCCTACCGACATGGTGGAGTCTACTGTTTGAAGTATCAACCCCCAGTAGCAAGCATCTGACCAGCAGACACCCAAACCTGCCCGTCTCGGCCAGGCAGGCTAGTGGCCGCTAGCAGGGAGATAACGGGATTGTTTGCCCCGCGTAAGCCCCGAGATCCCTACAAACAAGCATCAAGGAAGGTGCTGTTTGTACAGACGGCTCTACACGGGGCCCAGCTATGCAGCTTGGCTACACCAAGGAGCTACACTTTGGTAACGAGAGCACCCCTCGGCTGTTTTCTCAAGCCAGTGATAATCTCTTCAATACAGTCCACACTGGGCGTGGGGGTGGTGGTGGTGGGGTCATCGGGACGTATACATTTCAAAAGGCTAAGCGGCAAACGATGGTAGTAAGGTACCTTTAGATAACTGACTCACACACCCCGCCGCTGCTACTGGTATTTAGTGTGGCCTGGCTTGATTGGCGGCTAAGTTTTACTCTCAGCTGTTTAACTGTGGGCTAGCTTTACTGTGGGCTAGTTTTACTGTGGGCTAACTTCGTTTTACTGTGGGCTAACTTCGTTTTACTGTGGGCTAACTTCGTTTTACTGTGGGCTAACTTCGTTTTACTGTGGGCTAACTTCGTTTTACTGTGGGCTAAATTCGTAGTTTTTACCGTGGGCTAACTTCGTTTAACTTTGGCCTAACTTCGTTTTACTGTAGGCTAACTTTAACTGTGGGCTAAATTGTAGTTTTTACTGTAGGCTAACTTTAACTGTGGGCTAAATTGTAGTTTTTACTGTGGGCTAACTTCGTTTTACTGTGGGCTAACTTCGTTTTACTATCGGCTAACTTCGTTTTACTGTGGGCTAACTTCGTTTTACTGTGGGCTAACTTCGTTTTACTGTGAGCTATGGGCTAACTTCGTTAAACTGTGGGCTAAATTCGTAGTTTTTACTGTGGGCTAACTTCTTTTTACTGTGGGCTAACTTCGTTTTACTGTGGGCTAACTTCGTTTTACTGTGAGCTATGGGCTAACTTCGTTAAACTGTGGGCTAAATTCGTAGTTTTTACTGTGGGCTAACTTCTTTTTACTGTGGGCTAACTTTGTTTTACTGTGGGCTAAATTCGTAGTTTTTACTGTAGGCTAACTTTGTTTTACTGTGGTCTAAATTCGTAGCTTTTACTGTGGGCTAACTTCTTTTTACTGTGGGCTAACTTTGTTTTACTGTGGGCTAAATTCATAGCTTTTACTGTAGGCTAACTTTGTTTAACTGTGGGCTAAATTCATAGTTCTTACTGTCAGCTAACTTAACTTTACTGTGGGCTGTTGAGCGTATAGCTGTAGGTTTAACCATAGCAAGGTGATCTAAACATGACTCCCAATGAACTTAGAGCTTTCTATTGATGGCTTTTTTAAAATCAAATCTCCCAGTGAAGTGATTAGACAGGTGTCCCCCACACACGGACAAAGTGTTTACAAACATTACTGTATGTACCACATTTAGACTGAATCCGAACATCACAATGACTAGGCTTTGTTAAGTCCATTCTAGCATATTTTTTGAACAGTATGTATTGAAGAAAGCTGATTACAAGTGTAATAGAGCCGAGTGCCAACAACTCTACACCAGAGGGTGATGAAAGTATGCTGGAGAGAAACAACAAGTACCAGAAGGTGAGGAGGGGAGGGGGTGGAGGGGGTGAGGGAAGCCAGTCTCTAAAGTGATCCAGCTATTTCTGCCATTTGGAAATGTCATTAACAGGCTCTGAGGAACTCTCAGAAAAACATTCAAATTGTTTCCCCTCAGTAGAAAAAAATGGGTTATATTTAGGTGCTGGTGGTTGGGGGGAAGTGTGCCACAAATCTTGCTTCAATACACCACTAACAGTTTTTTTAAGTCTTTGTATCTTAGATTGGGGGTCTAATATCTTGAGTGCTCTGCCACAAATCTTGCTTTAATACAACACTAACAGTTTTTTTTAAAGTCTTTGTATCTTAGATTGGGGGTCTAATATCTTCAGTGCTCTGCCACAAATCTTGCTTCAGTACAGCATTAACTGTTTTTTTAGAATTGGATTTTGTATCTTGAATTGGGGGTCTAATATCTTCAGTGCTCTGCCACAAATCTTGCTTCAATACAACACAGTTTTTTTAATGTCTATGTTTTGTATCTTAGATTGGGGGTCTAATATCTTCAGTGCTCTGCCACAAATCTTGCTTCAATACAACACAGTTTTTTTAATGTCTATGTTTTGTATCTTAGATTAGGGGTCTAATATCTTCAGTGCTCTGCCAAAAATCTTGCTTCAATACAACACTAACTGTTTTTTGTTTTTGTATCTTAGATTGGGGGTCTAATATCCTGAGTGCTCTGCCACAAATCTTGCTTCAATACAACACAGTTTTTTTAATGTCTGGATTTTGTATCTTAGATTGGAGATCTAATATCTTGAGTGGGGCAGCATGCACAACCACTAGAATTTTGTAGATTTCAACAAATCATCTTGAATGTGGGCTCTAAAAGAGTATTTTGGGAGGGTTTGATACTGACCATAAGTTTGTATTATTCCCCAAATGATCTCTAGTGTTGTAAGGGCTGAGATAGTATCTAGAGTGAAGATGAAGAGAAACCCTGTACTTACCCTCAGTGAGATTTCTGCCAGGATTGAAAGCCCCACGAGGTATGCTAGGAGGGATGAGATCACAGCTTGTGTGCCCAGCTATCTTACACCCATACAGAGGGTGGGACCTGAAAGTAACACATCACCTTTAACCTTTGGCCTTTACATCATCTCTTAATTATGTTTAAATACCTCACTTTTTTCTTTCAGAAATTGTAAAAAAAAATGTTTCCTTCAATAAAAGGTAATTTGTAAGTTTCAATCAACTTTTTCCCACATTTCCTATGTTGGCTAAAAAAAAATTCTTTCAGTTTCTATCTGTGTGACTGTGTTTGCCAAGACTAACATCCTCTAATCTTGCTAACATCAAAAGAAAAAAAAAGTATCTCACTTGAAGTCCTTGCATTCCATATGACAGCAGCTGTATCCAAGGGTTATGGGCTGCTTGACATGGAACTTGTACAAGTTCTCCACTGTGATCTTGTTGGTCCTCAACACTTGCAGGTATTTACGGAAGCGTATTCGTAATCTATCAACTATCTGAAGAGATATACACAAAAACACATCAACTATCTGAAGAGATATACACAAAAACACATCAACTATCTGAAGAGATATACACAAAAACACATCAACTATCTGAAGAGATATACACAAAAACACATCAACTATCTGAAGATATACACAAAACACACCTTTCTGAAGATATACACAAAACACATCAACTATCTGAAGAGATATACACAAAAACACATCAACTATCTGAAGAGATATACACAAAAACACATCAACTGTCTGAAGATATACACAAAAACACATAAACTATCTGAAGAGATATACATAAAAACACAACTATCTGAAGAGATATACACAAAAACACAAACTATCTGAAGAGATATACACAAAACAGATCAACAATCTAAGGAGATATACACAAAAACACAACTATTTGAAGAAATATACACAAAAACACAACAATCTAAAGAGATCTGAAAAAATAACAATCTGAAGGAATATATAAAAGCAACAATCTGAACAGATACACAACAATAAATCAACAATCTGATGGAATCCACAAAACATTACAACCTGGAAAGGTATACCATAACAAACCAACCATTTTTTTGTAAATGTGAAATTATTTTCAACCTCAACAGAAAGAAACCCTACAATATAAATGTACTATGCTTCAAAAATTTAATTTAAAGACATATCTCCAAGGTTACAAAGAAAATGTATTTTAAAAAATTACCTCATCCAGTCTTTCCTGCTCTTTTCTGATATTCTCCTCATACTGTAGAGAATCATAGATGGCCTAGGAAAAAACAATGTTATAATAACAACATTAATAGGTTATTTTTTTTTTCTACAAGGGTAATAACTGGGAGAAAGTAAATATTTACAATAAGAAATATGGTAAGCCATACCACACAGGTTTTTCCCCATTAACAACAGTAACATTATAACCTAAACTTGTGCTGAGATAACCCAACAATACAAAAACAGTAGCAAGACAACATGGGTTTTTTTTATATGACAACAGTGACTTGTACAGTTGCCTACTACATCAGAGCACGTAACAACCTGGGGTATCAAAATACTTTTAATATCATTTATTTTCTACAAAAACATTTATTTCCTCATGAAGGATTGTATATGAGCTAAATTCCCCTTTCAAAATATTTCAGTCAGGTTTTTTATAGCAATAAACTCAGTCACTTTAAATGTGAATAAGAAGGCTATGTCTGTAGGAAACTAAGCAAAAAAAAAAAAAATACACTGTGTAGGTAACTATAGTATAAGATACTAACAGATGATATGAATTATGCTTCTTTTGTGTGTTGAAACTATACTAATAAATAAAGTACATTTGGGTTGTAAACTATATGCTGATAAATGAATAATGATGTATGAAAAAAACCATAAGCTAACAAACAAAATACATTGTGTGTAGGAAATAAGCTAACAGTAACTGATGAAGTATGTTATATTTTCTTTGAGTAAAAAAACTATAAGCTAACAAATAAGGTAGGGTATTTTTGTGTAGAAAACTATAAGCTAAAAAATGAAGTAGGGTATTTTTGTGTAGAAAACTATAAGCTAACAAATAAGGTAGGGTATTTTTGTGTAGAAAACTATAAGCTAAAAAATGAAGTAGGGTATTTTTGTGTAGAAAACTATAAGCTAACAAATGAAGTACTGTATTTTTGTGTAGAAAACTATAAGCTAACAAATGAAGTAGGGTATTTTTGTGTAGAAAACTATAAGCTAACAAATGAAGTAGGGTATTTTTGTGTAGAAAACTATAGGCTAACAAATGAAGTACAGTATTTTTGTGTAGAAAACTATAAGCTAACAAATGAAGTAGGGTATTTTTGTGTAGAAAACTATAGGCTAACAAATGAAGTACAGTATTTTTGTGTAGAAAACTATAAGCTAACAAATGAAGCAGGCTATGTGTGTAGAAAAGTATGAATATAAATAAACATAAACCGCAGTGAGAATGTTGAGCCTGCCAGCGGTGTATGATTGTGTATGCATGGCCAACTTTTATGGCCCATCCAGCTTCAAAGCACAGACTTAGCCTCAGGGGTTAAAACATGGCGGGGATAGCAGCAGTTAGTTGTTAGGCTGGGAGAGAATGGAGAGGTGGGGGGGAGAAGGAGCAAAGAAAAAAGATGAAAGAGCCGGGACGGCAAATAGGGTGAGGATTAAGTGCGCGGAGGGAGGGGGAGTGGAGAGAGAGGGGGGAAGTGGAGGTGGTGGATTGGGAATGGAAAGAAGAACGGTTTTTTTTGTTGTAAAAATGAATGAATAAAACTATATGAAAAATGTTAGAAGGGAGAAATCAATCGAGGTGGATTGTGGGCTAAATGTATGTGGGCTAATATTTGTTTTTATAAATATGAATAAGACTATATTTAAAAAAATGTGAGAGGAAAAAAAATCTATCAAGATGGATTGTGTGCTGAAACGCAAAATCAATTTAAATAAAACAATAATTTTACGGTAGTTCTAAGGAAACAGTTTAAGCATACTAGAAAATAGAAAACGTTTTTTTTCTAACTCTAGCAGATGGTTTTTTTCTACAATATCATTCGGTAGTTTCATAGACAGCCGAGTGGGACAGAACTGATACGTTGAACAACTAACCGAAAGCCTAAAGCACCAGACTAGATCTAATCCCAGCCAAGAAATAGGTTTGGTGGCAAGGGACTGAGAACACGGTCCATAGAGAAAAAACACAAAGGCAAGAAAAAAGTATAACATTACAGCAAATTTATCTGCTTCACGCTGTTTAGCTGTGCTCAATAGCCTACACCCCCCTCCCCCCATCTCGTCTAAGTAATGTTTTAGTTCAATACCATTTGCTTTATTCAGCCCTTCGTAGTTTATTTCATTCCTAATTAGATTTAGATTTATCTTGGTGTATATTGGTGGAAAAGGGAGAGGGCTGCAAACCACCACGTGAAAATCGATGTTTGTAAACAACAAAACTGATTTTCTAAAAATAGGGCTACTTGAAGGAAGCCAATCATTTCCTTCCCATTACACTCGGCTTTTAAAGTACGGCCATTCCGTAATGAAACAAAAACAAAACCCGGCATGCATTTCTGTGAACAAAACGAATGTTTCACGAAGGAACTAAAATCATACCCTCGACAGGGTCAAACAAAGGCAGGAGTGAAAATGGTAGGGTATCATATCCCCTATTGAGTGCGCCGTCCCTTCTTCCATACACCAGACACCGTGTGCTTAGCATAATAACGTGGGGCCCGGGAAACCGATTCGTTTAAAGAAACGTGCGTTTAATAACAAGAACTCAGGTAGAAGGAAGAAAGCCTGCAGTCAGGCGGGGTATTCACTGTTAACGGTATTTCTGTTTAAGTGAGTTGCGTGTGGCGGTTGCCAAGAAGGCACAGGTGATTACTGAGGCCAATACAGCCAGAAATGATGAATGGTATCGCCGCTTTTCATTCCAACTTTATAGCCCCTTTTCTTATGCGGCCGCTTGGAAAAAAAAGAGTCATTTGAATACGGGCTTAATGCGGCTCTATTCAGAGTCCTTGGTCCGGGTCGGGAGTTGTGTATAAGCAATGGCTTTTTGGCACGAGGGTGCTAGTAATAAACAACATCGAGTTTTCTGTCTTCTCAGAACGGCCCAGCGATCAATGAGGCCAGTACACAATACGCCGACACCAGTTCGGTGCTGGCGATGTTTCCACTTGAGTTACTGCGCCACTCTCCCACCCATTACTGGGGGGGGGGGGGGGGGGCACACCACTAACCTGTCCCACTCAACCATTACTGGGGGGGGGGGGGGCGGCACACCACTAACCTGTCCCACTCAACCATTACTAGGGTGGGGGGAGACACCACTAGCCTGCCACACTCTCCCACCCAGAACTAACCTACCAACTCCCCCACCCATTACTGACGGGGGAGGAGGGGCAACACTAACTGATCTTTCCTTTTCTCAGTTTAATGTTTGGCAGCGATTTCTCCGGGGCAGAATCGTTTGTAGTCAGCCTTTGAGTAGCTGATGATCGCATGCTACCCAGAGCCGGCCGGGGGAGATGACTGAGGCACTAAAACGCGAGTGAAATCATCCACAAAGTGGCAGCGCAATAAACACAAGACATAACTTCCAGTCAAGTGAAGTTCAAACACATTCAATACATTCAAATAGGGCCATTACAAAAATGACCCTCAGTTATCCATTTTACCCAGGCGAAACAAATGAAGGCAATTAAGTTTGACTAGAACGCCAGCCTCTAAGGTGGGTTATTGCCACATCCATGCCTGCAGTTCCAGTCTAGCTGAGCTTCTTTTTTTTGTCACATAATAAGACATTAACTGCTCCATGGCACCATTTGCTCCAACAGCAACAGATATGATTTGTAGGTCCAAATCATTTTTTAAACATTCAGAATGTTTAAAATTGATTGTGTGGTGTATACATGATAAAAACACTAACAATTATTCCCTAAAATAATTAAGGTCTGTCAAGGAAGTAAACAACCTTATTGTTAGGGACACTGTTATACTTAGACAAGTTAGGTTTTTAAATTTAAATGTTTAACTCTTTAGGCCCATTTAAATACCATTTAAGTTATATATATAAAGAAAGAGAAATAGGTAATTATATTGGTAACTTATACATTTCCAACACAAATCTATAACCTATGAAGTGTGATAAACTTTGTGAAATCTAACTCGATAAAAACGATAAAAAACTTTAAAGGTAATTGTAAAGTTCCCCTTTTAAGCCTGATGGTCTATGGGACAAGTGAAGTAGAGTTCACTTGTTTCTGTGACCTCGGCATATGAAGAGATAGTGTGGTCAGCACTATGCCCAGACATCTTTACTTTCAATAACGTGAGTTAGGTACCCATGAGAGCTGGGTGGACTCAGGGACAGTCTACTGACTTGAACCCGGATTTAAACTTAAGACTTACAGGTTAGCCATCTATCTCTACCGCTAGGCCATTCCGTCCCTTAAAACTTTAAGATTTTTAAAACGAAAATAGCCTAATTCAACTATTTCTAAATAACTGCATTAGATACAAGACAGAAATTTAGTTTAAAATCTGTATCACACCATGGTCACAAAATCTCCAGTAGAAATGTTATATAATATGGGCATCACTTTAACTGGAAGTTAACTTTAAAGTTGCTTTTTTATAAATGTGTGTACAAGAGTGATAAATGGGCTTATGGCATTAAAATTTGTTATATATGTGTGCAACTGTGTACGTTTAATAGCTTAACTTAACAGGACTGTAGAGTCAGTGCAAAGCTAAATTTAAAAAAAAAAAAATAATGCAGTTCTTCCTCTTTGTTCATTGTTCTTAATGTTAGACGGGATTTCCACCAGCACACTAAAGTATTTCATGTCAAATTGTTAAGACTTTTCTCTCCAAATGGCTGCTGTCCCCAGCTATCAAGACTCATCTACCCGAGGATTAGAACTCAGGACTTTTCAATGTAGCAACCATGAGCTTAAACGACTCAACCAGCTGGTTTTATTAGCTACATCACATACCCTTAAAAATGAATATAAGGAGCAGGAATAAGAGCACTTGATTAAAAAGCCAGCAGAAGAAAAAAAAAATTTAAAAACCCAAACTGAACTTACGCAATTCCTAAATAGATTTTACATAACAAATCTAAAGCTAGTGTAAAAAAAGAGGGACATGGTATTTTTTTAAATTAAAAAAATGCCTAAACTTATATAATTAAGGAAAGAAATTTTTTTTAAATATACCTTTAAATTAAAGTACTACATAGCCATTGTATCATTTTTAACATTAAAAAAAAATACAGTGAAAACATTTCTAATTCTATATAGAAGCTTAATAAGTACAGAGCATTTAAAATTTTCATCAATATAGCAAAATAGGTAGTAGGGCTAAGTGTAGGGATGTTGATTAATTATGTTGAGCTAGTCACATTTTTTTTTAAAATAGGGTAAAATGTAAATCCTGCTTTTAAGTTTAAAAGCACAACTAATGCTAGTGTAGAGTGAACTAAGTATTTAAAAAATTAGTTTGTACAATATTAGATTAACTATCATTTACTAGCTAACGGGAAAGTAGTTACAGTCACTATTCAGAGTTTTTTCCAAATCATTTCAAAGAGTTTTCACTAATAAAATAATGAATTTCATACAGGTACTAAAACTTGAGTACAAATAGACTTAATCAGGATAATAAGAGGATTCTTCTACTGCTAGATTATTTAACCATAACCTAAGTAAACTATACCAATCTTGTAATGATGTGGTAAACACAGAAGTGAACTGGCCAAAAATTATTTATTTGCCAGGCCTACCCATCAACAACTAGCTAAAGCTTTGGCTGTGTTATGTTCTTGCCAGCAATGACTCTATTTAACTACAAAACTCTCCACTGGGACAATATCTAAACTAATTTTATTAACAACCCAAGTTCAATACTAAAATCTTAACGTCAGTAGATGCCTAAGTATAGTTACTGTTTTTAAAAATTGTTAACTAAGCTAAATAATAGTACATAGACAAATGTTAACCATTAAAATACCACTACAGTTTTATGAAGGATCAGGCACATGACTGGACTCTTTTACCTACTTATTACCACATCAAATAATTAGTTTACATTTCTATGACACAAAACGGAATCATTTACTTACTTATTACCACATCAAATAATTAGCATATATTTCTATGACCACCACACCTCTTACATTTGTTAAGCCTAGGGCTAAACAATACAAAATGAATTGTGCGCTAAAATTAGTTGCAATTTAAAAATAAAATTTAGCAACTTCATTTAGGGAATATCTTTATTTTAAAAAATAGCCAGTCTTTTGAAATAAATAGCGCTAAGCACTATTGAGCAATACTGAGCAAAACAAATAGAAAATGTGTAGGCCCTAGGCCTAATGACTAAACTAGTTAATTTGGATTTGGTGTTCACAACAGCAATTTTGCAAAAAAAAAAAAAAAAAAAAAGAATCAAGTGAAAAGTGAATCCAGTCAGTTCAAAGGCAGTCAGTGTTATACAGCATGACATTGTTATATATGAGGCCCTAACTAATATTCCTCCACTTATTTTTTTTAAATTTAGGCGTAACTCTAATTTCTAACCATAAAACTACATTTGAGATAAACAACCTAATATTAATATTTAGTAGGCCTAATAATACTAATATTAATATTAATATAGTAAATATAGGCCTAGATCTAGAAATCTAGGTCTAGATCTAACTATTTTCAGAAAAAGTCTATTATTAATTATTATGGGACATCAGTGGTAGTTATTAGTTAAGTCTAGTACCTGCATGTTAGTTATTCCAATTTCATCATTGCTTAGCCACCTTAATCGTGCTGATAAATCCTGGGAGGCCTGCTGAATTATAACTCCACCCATATCAGCTGGATTAACAGCCTCTTGTCGAGTATCTGTGAAATATTCCCCATCATCAGGATTGCTAGAATCAGATGATGCTGAAAATCCACCTATTTTTCTTTTCGATGGGTCAATTTCAAGATCAATATTCCTAAGATTTATCCTTCCAGCATGATGGTTCGATGATTCTAACCATTGCTGATTTTGAGAAAATGCAGAACACTCGCGATTAATAGTTAAAAACACAATTATTAGAACACAGTAACGGCAAATATTCACATGTAACTTAAAATTTGAGTGCCGAAATTTATGAAGATTTGTCGCCATGTTTTCGTGTGCCTGTTATCTGGAACAGTACACAGCCAGAATTGTGTGAAAATATATCCAATTTTTTTAATAAAACATCACAGTAATCCTCAATGCATCCTTGTTACATGAATATTTATAGTCCGTCTAAGCGCCTACAAACATGCAAAGGAAAACAAATCCATAACACATCCATCTTCTTAGTTTGCACATCACATCCACTATCAACCTCTGGATGGTTTCGACAACTCTGCCTGTTAGGCTATACTGCTTTAGTTCATTTTATTATGCGAGAGAGTTGCCAGGTTTTCATGATAATGAAACTGAGCAAGCCAAATTATTTTTCTTCACGTCATCTCCTCATTTTTATGTTTTAAAGATAAATTATCTAAACTACGGAATGTTTCAAATCATACTGATGGAAATGAAATATAATTAATAATACATTATAACAAACTGATGCAATTAACTTTGCTTTTAAATTATTTAAACAAAGAAATACGTTTGAAAAAATAAAACGCGATGTGTGTTAGTTGAGTCTCATCGGTGATCTATTCACATATGCCTGAGAACTATAGAAAGTTAGCCTAACTTGAAAAACAAATAGAAATACAAAATTCCCTTCTTTTGATTGCATTAATTTCAGCTCGTCACTTTAAACTTTTGCACCTTAAATGCCTTTATTGTTCAGCACCTTGTGAGATTTAGAAAATTTCTTCAAGAATTTTTTTTTCATGGTGTATTCTATGATATATAAAAAACATGCCTCTTATCTCAAATGACATAAAATTCCCTTTGATTTAATTACAGACAACTGCGAATGAGTTGCATTGCGCTAAATACTTATATTAGTGTTGTTATAACGGAATTCAGTTTACTTTGAGGGTCGTTAATAAATGGCGTCACACTAGTAGGGAAGAGGGGGTCCGTAATTTTGTGACGATGTTTGATGAGCGGGGGGCGGGGGTGTCAGATGATGTGGCTTCAGACTTTTGCATTTTTTTAAAGTATTGTTAGAAACTGAATTTTAGAAGTTATTTCGCGTTTTAGAAAACTGTTTTAATATATAGTAATAGGAATTGATTTAAATATTATGTGTTGACCGAGCATAGGCAATATTTAAGAAGAAAAAAAAACGATGTTTTAAATAAAATATAACTGCAACTTTGAGGGAGATTGTGGGCTGAAGTGCGAAGTCGTTTTAGGGGGGGGGGTCTGGCTTATTGTGACATTATGTGACAAAAGGGAAGCGGGAGGTAAAAATTGTAAAAAAAAACTTGACGTTTTTTAATTTTTTCATTAATGTTGAAAATACACTGACCACGAACAAAGTGAAACAGGCGTTCTTTGCCGACGGCCGATAATCTAAAAAGGAAAAACTAGAAAGGGAATAGATTTCTAGGTGTGGATGGCGAATTTACTCACAAAAAAAACCCAAAACAACATTCCTGTCTGGCATTGGAGTGGCACCAACAGGGACGGAGGAGACATAGTGTCCGGGGGTGGCTTCATAAAATAACAATAACCCAACTATCGAGTAAGTTGGTGAAGTGTTAACTTGGTCTTATCCTCTCTAGGGTGACAAAAGGAAGAAGAAGAAAATGTAGCAAAAGTGCAACAGCGATCTGATCTACTCTGACATTGAAATCACGATTGGTGAATGGCCCTGTCGTTAATACCTGTGTGATGTAATCAATAGACGGTTCTAAAAATCAAGTGCCAGTTATTGTGATACGCCATAATCGCTTTGGCAGGCACTTCTGATATAATGACCGCATATAAATATAATTAAATGATTGCTTATACATATAACTAACGACATAATAGATAACATAGGGTATACAGGTCACATAACTACATGGGGCATACAGGTCATATAACTACATAGGGCATACAGGTCATATAACTACATAGGGCATACAGGTCATATAACTACATAGGGCATACAGGTCATATAACTACATAGGGCATACAGGTCATATAACTACATAGGGCATACAGGTCATATAACTACATGGGGCATACAGGTCATATAAATACATGGGGTATACAGGTCATATAACTACATAGGGCATACAGGTCATATAACTACATAGGGCATACAGGTCATATAAATACATGGGGTATACAGGTCATATAACTACATAGGGCATACAGGTCATATAACTACATAGGGCATACAGGTCATATAACTACATAGGGCATACAGGTCATATAAATACATGGGGTATACAGGTCATATAACTACATAGGGCATACAGGTCATATAACTACATAGGGCATACAGGTCATATAACTACATAGGGCATACAGGTCACATAACTACATAGGGCATACAGGCCATATAATTACAAGGGCCATACATGTTATATAGCTACATGGGGCATACAGGTCAAGTTGATACATGGGGCATATATGTAAATTAAGTACATTGAGGCATACAAGTTATATGGGTACATTTACTTAAGGCAATGACTTGCTTTAATGCATCGACCTCTAACAGAGGCGTAGCGACCCTTCCCGGTGCCCGGGGACAAACTTTCAATAAATTTTCGATTTGCACCCCCCCCCCTTCAAACTGCAATAATGCAGCTAAAATGACATTTAAATTTGTTGTTACACCTCATAGGTCGGCGCCCGGGGACATATGCCCCCTCCCCCCCCCCCCCCCCATCGCTACGCCTCTGACCTCTAAATGTTTTTTTAATGGGATTTTATTTCCCAACTATATTTCGATCTTGACAGCCGCCAATACATGTGTTTTTTTCTAATACTTTATATTGTAGAAACTATCTTAATTTTTTTCGGACCTTCCATCCCCTCCCCTCCGTGTGTACGTCATAAATGAATGACCCTACGACATATCACGTGTCAGGAGCTGGATGACCCGAGGGTGGATTAGATTTTAATCCACATCATAGTTGCCCTAAATACTCACACTTGCAGTTGTTGTTTTATTCCACCACCACCACAAAAACCCACTTATTTTCCTTATAAAAGTCCATACGCGTCCGCAAAAGTCAATTTTTTCGACACCCCCCCCCCCCCCCCCCCCGCGTGTGGACATCATAAATGGATGACCCCTAAGACGAAAAGTTGTTTTTTTTTATTCACTGTTGACGTCCTCACACTTATTTCAAATTCCTCGTCTATTTCCCGGACTACGAAGAAAAAATAAACATTCAATTAATATTGGAGAAAAGCTCACTAAACCATAGAACTGCATGCTGAAAAATGTTAATTAAACTTTAGGAATACCAGTGAAGTTACAACAAATAGCTTTGATAATTAAACTATTCAGCTGCGTATATCAGAAATACTCCGCGAAAGCCTATAATATATATATTATATAATGCTATAGGAAATGCCCTTAGATGTAAAGGAGCAGATTTGTGAAGAAGTTAAGGTTCCGCGATTGTTTTCTTTTAATTAGTTCAATCAACAGTCGAAAGCTTATGTTCTCAGTTGATTGTCTTCATAAAATGTCTTCATTAATATAAAATCAAAGAGAATTCTATTCAAGATTTTCTGGTATGTCCTTGCCAGTGAGACTCTTTCGACCTCTCTATAGACCTTACTTAATTTGCTTATAAAATGGTAAATTTTAGTACATGGGATCTGGAGCTCTGTTAAAAACCCGTCTGTCTAATGAACATGAAGACATGAATTCTGAGAGGAAGGTTCTTCTTTTCAACACTGAAGGACGTTCGTTGTCGAAATGAAATGTGAATCGTGTCTTTGTATTAAAAGGTGAAATCAAGTTGTTTCTAAACGCGCAAGGAAAACGAACTTTTGGTATGACATCGCACCATCTGAACCCCCCCTCCCCCTCATCACACACCGTCACAAATTTAAGGACCCCCCCCCTCTCCCCTACGAGTGTTACGTCATTTATGGACGACCCCTGAGTTTTAACTAGACTATGTGAATCTAAATATGAATTAAATGAAAATTTGAGATTACTGTACATCAGAATCTCTTGAAAACTGACTTCAACTTTGCTCACCTAAGTTGAAAGAAGAACAACATTGATACGAAATCCATTCTCCCCTTTAATAGATGGAGCCAGCATTCCCGCTGAATCAAGAACAGTTCTTGAATTCATCGGAATAAATTACCATAGGATCGTTTCATGAAAAATGTCGTAATGTGTGTAGCTCAGAAGTTAGTGTGCGTGATTGGGATTAAACTTTACGCAAAGTAGTTAGTTTACTAGATTTTGCTTTTGTCCCCGTGTTGTTCGTTATATTGTTGTACACTATACACACACTTTTATAAGAATCATCTTAGGAACTTTTTAAAAGCGCGAGTTAGCTCACCTAGACTTGCTTATATTATATGAGTTGAGATGGCTCTTCTAGTGGAGTCCGGCCATAGAAATTGTTTCTGCGTCTTTTACAAAACAGCTCTTTGTTCGAGAAAAAACATACAGGCGAAAAGTTCTTAGAACATGCTTAAGGGGTCATCCATAAATGACGTCACGCTTTTTTGACGATTTTTACCCCCCCCCCCCTCCCCTCCGTCACAAAAAGCCAGACCCCACCCCCCTAAAATGACGTCATACCTCAGCCTATAACCCCCCTCAAAATTGCAGTTAAATTTTTTTTAAACATCTATATTTTTCCAAAATCTTGTCTGTACTCTGTCAAAATAGAGTATTTTAATCAATTCCTATTACAATTTATTAAAATAGTTTTCTAAAACCAGAAATAACGTCTAAAATTCGTTTTCTAACATTGCTTTTTTATAATGCAAAAGTTTGACGTCGCACCATCTGAACCCCCTCCCCCTCATCACACACCGTCACAAATTTACGGACCCCCTCCCCCCTACGAGTGTGACGACCTCTAAGAGAATATGGAATAAAATTATCAAATTCGGAAGGTTTTTGGGGAATCGAAAATAGAGTCAAGTACCCCTTATGGTCGCAACCTTTTGGTTTAAAAAATCATACCAACTTTAACTTTGTATACGAGAAAGTGGCTTCGGTAACAAAGTTACAATCTTTAAAATATCTTGACCATACATACTCATACATGGTTACACTATCATAATATAATAATACAATAAATACATACACTCAGATAAATCGATATATTTGAAGTCTCTCATTTGCAAAACTAAATTAATTTATAATAGGAACGTTTAGAAGCTCAGAAGATTATCTTTTGGGACTATCATTTCAATAACAAAAAAGGCACACTGGCAAATGTTACATTTTATTTAATGTAAAATAGTTTCGTAGATACTTCATACTGAAAATAAAAATAGAAACTAGGCCCCTTTTCTTTTATATTTCAAAATGGCGGCATCCATGAACTTCCTATGTAAACAAGTCACTTGCCTTCGATCTTCATTGTATTTCAATTTGCTGGATCTTAAAAAATTTACGTATTTAAAAACACGAACAAGAAACTTTAAACGCCAAGGTATAACTCAAAAAGTAAAAAAAAATTGTGTAATCTATCGTTTTAGGTAGGCCTACGTAAAATCGACCCAGGCTAGTCAGCTAGTGCACCACTCTACTAACTAACTTACTAGACTAGTCTATCATCGTTTTTGGGTACGTAAAATCGCCCGCGACTAGTAATGTGAAAAACAGGTGACTCCTGAAATTTTAATAATTGTTTCACATTTTGAGGAGGATTTATAATTTATGTTTTTTAAAATACAAAAATCAAAAATGTTTCCTTGTTTCATTTATGTACCGGTTTTTAAACAATTGAATTAAAACTTTTCCGTAAAATAAATGAAGACTAGCGATGTTTCCCACAGATGCAACCATGCTCATTTACTATACCATAGCAGCCATCTTGTTTAAGTTTTATTTTTATAAGCTTATAGCGCGAGATTCAGGGGGAAGCCACTCTATTTTACAAATGGCTGCTGTTTATATAGCAAATCTTGCTCTCAGACACTGCTGTTTAAAGTTAATTTCTGGCCTATATCGATTTATTTAGCCATTGATTTAGGTTTATTATTCATTTATCTATAATATTTGAACAAATGTATGACAAAATACCTCTATTAAAGCCTTGACAATGAGGTAACGTTTTTGTACATTAATAGCCGCGGGCGATTTTACGTACCCAAAATGATAGATTACCGGATAATTTATTAATTTTGTTACAAACATCTTCACATTTTACTGAATTATTTAAGTCTCCAAATGAGTTTGGGCCTTAAATTTGGTGTTTTGATACATTGTAATTGTGATATAGCAATTATTATTATAATTGCTAATCAGTAAGTAAAATAAAGAAGTGTAATTTAAAGTTTGGTGAGATAGAATTGAATTCAATATTTCATATTTCTTTAATACCTTTGTATATTTACTTTTGTGACTAAATTTGACATATGCCTTGTTTTTTTTTAAAAAAAAAACCTTTACGTTATTTCAGTTCCAGTATTTTTGCTTTTTAATTACAGCATGTTTACTTGGTGGGGAATATGAATGGCAAGACGCAAAATCAGAGGCTGATCTGTAAGCTTTGTTTTTGTAAATTCTCAAATGAGAAAAATTTAATTATTTTTAAAAATATTTGTATATCTTTAGGTAATTGAATAGTTAGATTAATTGCTAAATTGCTTCAATTTCATGCATTGCACAATTAAAAATCACATTTTTCTCAAATTTCAGTGTGAATATAACATACATAGATAGACAGGGAGAGAAGCATCACATTAAAGGCAAAGTTGGTGACAATGTTATGTACCTAGCTCACAGATACAATATAGAAATAGAAGGTAAACATTACAAATTATTTGGTAGTAGGGGTGAAAATTTATTTTACTTGTACCAGTTTTACCTTTTAAATTCTTGCTACCCAGTAAGTAAGTTGAATTAACTAATGACATTAACTAGCGTTTATCTCTGATGTTTATCTCCCATTATTGAGTGGTTTCATTTTAAGTACTTGGTTATTGTTTTAGTAAATGCTTTGTATATTTTATTGTTACACAGGAGCCTGTGAAGCTTCTTTAGCGTGCTCTACATGTCATGTTTATGTAAAAGATGAATATTTGCACAAACTACCTCAACCAGAAGAAAAGTGAGTAACTACTAGAAAAATCATCATGATCATCTTTTCTATCTTGTTTTTCTGACACGTAGGCCACTGCAGAAAGTTTTTTTTTATCTTTGACAGTCCCTGGCAATTTTCTTGATAGCCCCTCAATATAGTCCTGCTTTTGTCAGTTGTTTTTCTGCCGTGCACCTCCATGTTTCCCTTCGCCTTCCATTTACTTTTTCCTTGAGGCGTCCAGTAAAGCATCTTGTGATATCATCTGGACTATTAAAATACTTTGTCGATAATTTAAAATGTCATGTGGATAAAGTATAATAAATCTGACTAAATATTATGAAAATTTAATTACTTTTGCTTTATAAAATTTTTTAATTAGAATTAGAATATTAAATTGTTAAAAAAAAACAATTTCTTATCATAAATTATTTCTTCATTGTTTGAAAGGTGACAAAATATATTATACATATATTATAGTAAATTATACAATTTATACAATATTTAGCAGCATATTATTAAGTTACTATTTGTGTGTATAAGTCAATCTTTAAATCTTTACTAGCGAGAGTAATTATCATTCTCTATTATGAAAATAAAATCTGATGAATGAACATCCTTTTAGCTTCTTCAGTGTTAATGTTTTACATTTCTAATTTTTTAATGAGTAAATTACTACCTTAAAGTTAATTTTACTTACATTGCTTTTTTTCAGAGAGGATGATATGCTTGATATGGCCCCATATTTAAAAGAAAACTCACGATTAGGTAATTTATTTTAGACGAGCCGACCCGCGGTGTATCATACGCCGCTATTTAGTTGTTTTTTCTACTTTTCAGTAATTCATAATTTGTGAATTTGACAGTACCAATGCTGCCACTGAAAATATTTGCTTTAAAACACTAAACCCCCATTTCCCCCCCCCCCCCCCCCCCCCCCCCCGTGAAAGCAGCCTCCTCTTAGTTACCTCCTCTAAGTTTAAAATAGTTTCAAACTGAATTATCTGCCCCTAATAGCCGTCACCAAACTAAACATTTAGCGTGAACTACAACTCACCTGACCATGTGAGGGGGGGGGGGGTGGTAGCGAAAGAGAGGGGACTGCAGGGCGCGCACTTGCAGCTTGTTTTCTAACGGCTCCCAGAAGAGAATTATATATATAGATACTTTGTTTCATATGTTTAGTTATGTCCCTTGATTGTATTGTAAACATGAAATCATTTTTAAATTTATGCAAACAGATTTTTAATTATTTGTGTATCATTAATTTGAGAGCAGAAATCAAATATCTCTGTCTAGATCTTAGATATGTACATTATTATTTGTAGTTCTATTATTGCCTAGTCATAATATTAATATTTATACACAAATCATTAAGACAACATAGAAAAAGTCTGTATAAATATTTACTGTAGATTTTTAAGGTTCCTAGTAGAAAACCACTCAATGTTTAACCTGTTGATATTTCAGGATGTCAAATTATATTAAATAAGGATCTTGATGGCATTGAGGTCACGCTTCCCAAGGCAACACGCAACTTTTATGTTGATGGACATGTTCCGCAGCCCCACTAACTGGGCTGAACAGTTTTGTGATGTGTGAGTGTCTAGCTGGCTGCCCCACTAAATTGGCTGAACAGTTTTGTGACGTCTGAGTGTCTAGCTGGCTGCCCCACTAAATTGGCTGAACAGTTTTGTGACGTCTGAGTGTCTAGCTGGCAGCCCCACTAGCTTGGCTGAACAGTTTTGTGATGTGTGAGTGTCTAGCTGGCTGCATGTAGACAGATGGTTGTTACTAGATGAAGGTAGCTCATACATTGGGATGTTTGGTTCTGTGTATTGGTTGGCTGAACAGTTTTGTGATGTCTGAGTGTCTAGCTGGCTGCATGCAAGACAGATGTTACTGACTAGATGAAGGTAGCTCATACATTGGGATGTTTGATTATGTGTATAGGTTGGGTGAAGTGTTAACCTTCACTTAACCACTAAGTTGGGTGAACAGTTTTGTGATGTGTGAGTGTCCACCTGACTGTAGCTCATACATTGGAATGTTTGCTTCTGTGCATTGGTTAGGTGAAGCTTTAACCTAAGCAGTCTGGATCATTTAATTATAAATGTAAATAGCTCATGTATTTATTACTGTTTAGAGGCATTGAGTAACTGTGGAATGGAACTTGTAGGTTCGTTTTAAAAATAATTTTCCTGGAAGTATATGTCGTGGGGTATATGAACTTTTGCCATAAAAGATAAAGTAATAAATAATGTGCCATGGTAGTTTGCTGATAGTGTTCCAAATTTGACCAGACAGCAGTTTCTAGTGTACTGTTATTTTGATAAACAGTTTAAAATGTATTACCCCTAGTGAGATGGATATTCACAGGCTTTTACAGACCAGTGAGGAATCTACTGTCATGAGTAAATGCTGGAATGATTACACATTTTTTCAATGTAACAGTTGTATTTGTTGAAAACATTTCTCATACCTGCAAGATATTAATTTTTATTATTGTTTTGGTCAGAAAAATTAAAACAAATATAGATATTTACATTTTTATTCGTATTTTTCTACAAAGTTTTTAAAAAAAAGAATAAATAAAGCACATTGAGTTTGCAGTGGTTTTAAATTATTTACACAATTACTGTGTGAAATTTAGAGATTTTAGTAGGTAATGGAGGATTCCACAAAGTGCTAGCACTATTTGGACATAGCCTCCCTGATAGCTGATTTCAACAATGAATTATGTATAGGGTCTGTATCTTTAGCTTAATCAAGCACATTTTTTTTTTCAAAGTACTAAAAAAAATTACTTCTTAAAATTGTAAAGCAACCAAAAGGCTTTGGTTACTAAGTTAAGAAAATACTCAAAAATGATTATGTAGCGTCAATAAAATTTGTGTTCAAATTGTTGGTCCAGTTAACAAGTTCATCCACTTCTTTCTCCCATGTCTCTTCACTGACTAAAACTTTTGCTTCGTTATGTGTGAACTCAGGGTCTAAGGAGAAACAATAATTAATCTGAATAACTTAAAATAATTTATCAATGCTCATTTCATGTATACCATTAATACAATTAATCTTAGACTTCTAATTGATAATATAAAATGAAATAGTCTGAGCTTTTTGTGGTAACAGAACTTATGCACAAAGAAGTTATATATATTTCCTATCGATTATGTCCCTGTAAATAAAATAGTTTTATTAAAAAACAAAACTGTGTACCTACTTGGTGTCTGTCTAGGTGGAAGGTAAAGTCTTTTCATCTTCTCTAACTGGGCCAGTTTTGCTGCCTTCAGTGTTTCATTGGAGGGTTTGTGTTTAAACACACCATACATCAAAGTGTTGTGACTGAAATATCAAATATTTTGACATCATTCATTAATGACGTCCACACTGGGGAGGGGGGGGGGTGTCAGAAAAACCAACTTTTGGACTGGAGGATGGGGGGGGGGGGGGGGGGTTCAGGTTAATGATGAAGTAAAAATGAGTCTAAAATTGCACAATTTTGTGGACGTCATTAATGGATGATCCCTAACTCAGTAGTATTATTTATACCAGCATACGGTTTTGACTAAATCTGTAATTGAAAGAAAATAGGTTGACTATTGATTTAGAGTATGCTAAAATGTTACGAAGAAACATACTCATCTATATGTTTTTTTATTTGTTCTTCTATTTCATTTCTTTGTAAACCTAAGTGAATTTCATGTAGTTTTTCATTCTCTTTCAACTGATCAAGCACTGTAACGAAATGATAAAAATTATTTTATTAAATTAAAGTTCAAAGAGATATAATCAAATTTGTAATTACTAAATTCAATAAGGAGCAAGTCAGTTTAGTTAGCTAACTAGTTTGTATAATTTTATGAGCTGTTATTTAGTGCAACACTGATGTGTAAAATCAGAACAATAAGATAGCTTTTCAATCATGGGTCACTGTGGGTCAAAGCCTGGAAAAAGTGCTATTATGACTGAGGATCACATTATATTATAGCGATCTTTATAACTACTTAGGTCTTCTAAAATATTAAAAGGTTTTATTTAGTGAGTAATCTACATAAGGGGTTGAAAAAGTAAATAATGGGGTGACTGGTTATGAAAACTACGCTGCTGTCAGCAGTATTCTGGCTAAAAGATGACGAGGCTGACAGATGCTGAACACTGACGTTGTGATGATACTTGTGGCTTTTTGTTTAAGGAGGTAGCAGGATAAATGGACAACAATTTTTCATAATGAAGAAAAAATGTTTTAGAATCTTACAAGGATTAACAGACTCATATCTGGTCTTGGATGTGGCAATATTGCACCATGTTGTGTGGTAGTCATTGAAAGATAGTCTGGTGGAATGTGAGCTAGGGCGTTTTGCTGACTGGGATGTCATATTTTTTCCTGCTGTCTTTTCTAACTTGGCCACTGCCTGCAAAGTAGTTTCATGTGGATCTTTACCATCTGTTGAATGAAGTCAGACCAGTTAACATGGGAAATGGGGTAATAGAAAACAGTTTGACAGTTTTTTAATTTATGTTTATTCAAGAATGTTCTTTCATTTAATTAGCTACAATAAATATTTACTTAAAGTAACGGTTCATTTATTATAATTCATGTGATTTTTAAAAAAGTATGACTATGTAAATATGCAGAAACAGGTTTAGTGACATGACAACATATTTACCTTCGACTTTCTGACTAGCAGCCACACATTCTTGAACCATCTGGTCATATGACAACATATTTACCTTCCACTTTCTGACTGGCAGCCACACATTCTTGAACCATCTGGTCATATGACAACATATTTACCTTCCACTTTCTGACTAGCAGCCACACATTCTTGAACCATGTGGTAACATGACAACATATTTACCTTCCACTTTCTGACTAGCAGCCACACATTCTTGAACCATCTGTTCATATGACAGTGGAGCAACCATCAGCATTTGGGCAGCTTGCGTGTTCACTGCATTTTCTAGCACTGGATGTGAAAGTAACGCCTAAATAGTTTACAAGTTTGTTAGTTTTCGTCACTATAGGCAAACTGATCATTTATTGAACATGAATGAAATATGTTTTAATATAAGGGTAGCTATTAAGTTTTTACTACCTGAAGGGCAACCAAAATATTTGAAAGACTGTAGTTTTCATTCCATTTCTGGGGGTAGTCTAGGAAATCAATGGAAGGTTTTCCACTACTTGCATCAACTAAAATATTTTTAAAGATTACAAATTAGAGAAAAAGTTGATTAGGGTGTTAGTGTATTAACTCTTTTCATCAATATCACATTTACTACTCACCATTGGGATGAAAAGGTATTGTTTGAAAATAAATTTCAGGTGGTTTCATATTATAGTGCTCATCAAAATGAATATAGATCTTGAAAATGCCACCTAAAATGTAAAGGTGATAAATTAATTAATTATATAAATGAAGAGAATTATACTTTTTGTAGCAGTAAATGAGCAGCAAAAATTTGTGGTAAATTAATAATATGATTTAAAATATGTAACACGTTTAAGAAGTATGTCTAAGTGTTATGGTGCCAACTATTCCATTTGGTCTGATGAACATCGAGTTTAGGGTTTGGCCAAATTGTGTATTAGGGCTTGGGTTAAGGGGATATGCGCGGAAAAAAAATCACAAAATTTCTTGTTTTTCGTCATGATGGGTTTCTTACACTTTTGGATACTTTGTTCATTTTTGTATATAGAAAATAATAACTTTAAAGAGAAAAAAATATTTTATGTGTTTGAATTACGATTTTTATGACCGTACTAATTAGAAAATAATCAATTTTTCCCAATCTTACAAGCTCTCTATGAAAAGTTTTATATCCATTATTATATTGTATTTGAAATCATTGGAAAGCTGGATTTCTCATGTATTTAATAAACTTAATTTCCTGCATCTCGGCAACACCCAAAGCTTACAATCGGCTTTGCAGTTTACACAGATATGGTACTTTCCTGACCTAGTTGTCGTTACTTTCGGCTGTTTTTCTCAGTTCGCAGGTTTTTAACACTAAAAAGCCTACTACTTTTTTATTTATTAAACAATGACAACCATATTTTCAGTAAATGTTCTTGATGCAAAAAAAAAACAACTTTTGTCACGAGGGAATTGTGATTGCTTTCATAGAAAAAAAGTATTTGGTAATTAATATGCACATTTTGAAACTTTTGAATACTAAAAAAGGTACGATTTTTTAGACCTTGTAAAATTCTTACTAGTAATTATTTCAAAAAGTTGTCGTGACAAAAGCTTTAATATATACTGAAATATAAGCAGTTTAAATTTGATTGCTAAATAAAAAAGCCTTAGCATTTTTAAAAGTACCGAAAAATTCAAAATGGCGGAGGTTTTTTGGTTTCCATGACAACCAAAATTGTTTTCGACCCTTTTTTTTTGCTGTTTAGTATTTACTTTTATATGCCAAATACGATTAACGTATTCAAAAGGCTTTAGATCTTAAACTGTAAAAAATAGAAAAAAAACATAGCATATCCCCTTACAGCTTCAATATTTATACCAGAGTTTATTTTATAATTATGATATAGACCCTTGATTTTGAAAGTGGCAGTTTTAGCAGTGTGCCTTAATTATTTTTTTTCAACTACATGAGTTTTTACTATGTATACAAAAATGTTTTCAGTGCCAAATATTTTTCAGATGTTACTTACCCTCCCACTTAGTATTTCTGAGTCCTTTAACTTTAGCCAATAATTCAAAGACTGAATCATCTTTTAAAGGATATATTTCACATCCCTAAGAAAGAGATATAATTATCACTGTAAACAATTGTGTACTGCAGTCAAGAGTGCACTTTGAGGTAATCTATCATTTTAGGTGCGTAAAATTGGCCATGGCTAGTTGTTACGGGTCAGTGTAGGTTAGACTAGAATAGGATAGAATGATCTAGAATTAGGGGAGAGTGAGTGTGTGAGTTGAGTTTACCCTAGAATATTGTTAACCCCGGTGTGTTTGTGTATTGTTATCCCAAGGTCGAATGCGGTATAAAAGCTGGAGTGAATGGTTGTCAGGAGTAGTTAGTTGGCAGTCAGCGGGTTAGTAGCGGTTAGGACGAGGGCTGTTCTGTTACGCTTGAAGGCATTGAGACGAATAAGTAGTGAAGTTAAACACGAAGCGTTGTTATTGATTTGAAATGAACCCAGAACGTAACAACTGGTGGCCAGTATTAAAGTAAAGATAGCGCAATCATCAGAACGTCATTACCACTGGATGTCACCATCACTAGACGTCACCATCGCTAGACGTCACCATCACTAGACGTCATCATCACTGGACTATACCATTCTGGGACCATAAGAACGTCATTACCACTGGGAGTCACCATCACTAGACGTCACCATCGCTAGACGTCACCATCACTAGACGTCATCATCACTGGACTATACCATCCTGGGACCTTACCTGAACAGAAAGTCGCAATCAGAACGTCATTACCACTGGACGTCACCACCACTAGACGTCACCATCCTGAGACCTTACCAGAACAGAAAGTCGCCATCACGGTATTCTACCATCCTTGGACTTTATCAGAATAGAAAGTCGCCATCACGGGATTCTACCATCCTTGGACTTTATCAGAACAGAAAGTCGTCATCACTGGACTCTACCATCCTTGGACTTTATCAGAACAGAAAGTCGCCATCACTGGACTACCATCCTTGGACTTTATCAGAACAGAAAGTCGCCATCACTGGACTCTACCATCCTTGGACTTTATCAGAACAGGAAGTCGCCATCACTCGGTTCTACCATCCTTGGACCTTACCAGAACAGAAAGTCGCCATCACGGGATTCTACCATCCTTGGACTTTATCAGAACAGGAAGTCGCCATCACTGGACTCTACCATCCTTGGACTTTATCAGAACAGAAAGTCGCCATCACTGGACTCTACCATCCTGGGATTTTACCAGCACAGAGCCTTGCCGTCACAGGACTTTTGTCTTTGTCGATCCAGGTCTTCGTCTTCACATGACCCGGCCATTACAGGATTTACCATTGTTTTGAAGGGCTAAAGTAGGGGAAGGGACTACTACAACAGATTTGTATTTGAGGTAAGTGTTTTTGAATTAGTCTGGGGCACGGTACTCACAACCGGGGATTACCCTTGCCTAACATTATATTGGGTATTACAATTTTGGCACCCAATCCTAAGTGGATAAGGTGAGATGGCTAGCGAAGGCTTAACGCTAGAGCATTTTATAGCGTTAGGGGAAAGATGTAAACTAGAGGGAAGGGAGCTGTTGGAATGGGCTGAGGCTAAATTGTTAGAGGCGGAGGCTAAGGCTAGGCAGCAGGCTGAAAGGGACGAGAGGGCTGCAGACAGGGCACTAACTAGGGCTAAAATTGAATCAGAAGAAAGACTAAAATTGAAGGAGCTGGAACTAGCAATGGAGAAGGGGAACAGGGAGGAAGACATAAAGGGCAGGGGTAGGGCACAGACCCCAAGAATTAAGCTGACTGGACTGAGAAACAGTAGGGACCAAACAGATATGGAGGTGGTGGTTGACATTTTTGAAAGGGAAGCCCGAGAAATAGGTTTAGAAGATAAGTTTTGGTGCCACGAGTTTAGGAAAGTTCTGCTAGATATAGGCTGCGAATCGTGGTTAACAGAATTAGGAGCAGAAGAGAATTATGGGAAGCTGAAAAGGGAGGTCCTAAAACACTTTGGTTTGACGGAGCAAGGATACAGTGATAAGTTTAATAGCGCCCAACCATCAGAACAAGACAGAGCAGGGAGTTACATTAGGAGGGTACGACACTACTTGAGAAGATGGGTCGAAGCTAGCAAGTGTGACAAGACATTTGACGGACTGTTTGACCTACTCTTAAAAGACAAAATAGTGAGAACAGTCGGACAAGACATAAGACAGCACATCCTCAGACAAAACCCGAGGACAATAGCAGACGTAGAAAATGCCTGTGACAACTACTTTGACATCTACCCAGACAGAAAATTAAAACCGATCGACGTGACAGAAGACGCATTTGTTGCCCCCATGGCACTTGCATCAGGATCTAGGAATCCCTTTAGAGAGGACAAGGACAAACGAACCCTAAGACCTAGATCTAAGAGCCCCATTAGAGAGGAATGGGTCACAAGAAATGAAGTCACCCTTCAACGGGAGAGAAGAGGACAAAGCCCGGTCCAACCTAGGCCGAGTAGTAATATTAGTCCCAGAAGAAGCCCAATCACATGCTTTAACTGTGGGGCTGAGGGGCACATAGCGGCGGGGTGCCGGTCCAATCGTAGACATGAGTACAGAGGGAGAAGGGTAGGCTTCAGGAACATTCAAGACATATGACTAGTACCAGAGTTCAGCGGGGAGTGCGGCGACTGTGGACAATGCCTAAGTCAAGTAAAGGGCGCTGTCCCTGTAGGGAACATTGGAGCTAATCGGAGATTCATAAGCGACAGAGGGTCACTTCCTATAGTTGCAGGAAAACTGGATGGGAGGACGGTGACCGTCCTACGGGATACGGGCTCTGTAGTCGTAGCTTGTCGAAAAGCTCTAGTCCCAAGGAATAGATGGACAAAAGAATGGATAACCATTAAGACCGCGGATGGAGATAAGAAAAGAGTACCAGGAGCTGTAGTCAACATAGAAACACCATACCTTACGGGAGAGTTCTTTGCCGTCCTTTTAGATGATCCACCCGCTGAACTTATAATAGGGAATGTAGCAGGCGCGAAATTACCGAGGGAAGATTCGCTAACATTAGCGGCGGTAGAAACCAGAGGACAACTTAGAGCATGGGGCAACCAGAGAAATGAGCCGGGGCATAAGATTTTAGACCAAATAACGACATCGAAAGATTTTAAAACGCAACAGAGCGAAGACAAAACATTAGCTAGGTGGTGGAAGCTCGCGGAAAAGGGCAAACAATGTAAAACGATAGATGGGTTATTATATAAGATCATAAAACACAGCAAAACAGAAGATCAGATTAGACTAGCAATCCCAAGGGGACTTAGGCCCACCATCCTGAAATTAGGACACGACACACCTATGGCGGGGCACATGGGTGTAGCAAGAACGAAAGCCAGAATTCTGTCACAATTTAGCTGGCCAGGGGCAGGGGAGGATATCAGGCGTTACTGCGAAAGTTGTGATGTCTGCCAGAAAAGCAAAAAGAATGTTGGTGGCAAGGCGCCTCTGGGTAGAACTGAGGTAGTGGGACAACCGTTTGAGAAAATCGCCGTAGATATTGTGGGGCCACTAACTCAAACGAAAAAAAAGAACAGATTCATACTCACAGCCGTAGACATATGCACACGGTGGCCAGAAGCCGTACCGCTGAAAAGTGTAACGGCAGCAGAGATCCAAGATGCGCTACTCTCCATCTTCACGAGGATGGGATTCCCGGAAGTCATACTCTCAGATAACGGGACCCAGTTCACGTCGGAAATTTTCTGCACCGTGTCTAAAATGTTGGGGATTAAAATCATTCACGCTTCGGCATATCACGCCATGGCCAACGGGGCGGTAGAACGATGGAATGGAACTTTGAAGGAAATGCTAAAGAAAGTAGCTATAGACAAGGATGATGATTGGGACGTATTCATCCCAGCAGCACTTTTCGCCTACAGAGAAGTTCCAAACGAAAGCACTGGTTACCCGCCATTCGAACTTATGTTCGGCAGGAAAGTGAGGGGCCCGATGAGCATCCTAAAGGATATCCTCACAGGAGAAGTAAGGGAATATAAGACAAGAGCTGCATATGACTACCTGCTGGACCTTAAGCAGCAGTTGCAAACGGCATGCAGTTATGCAACCCGCAAATCAGAAAATGAGAAAGATAAAGCAAAGAGCTACTACGATAGATCAGCCACAACCAAAGATATCAAAGTGGGGGATCATGTACTGATACTGAAGCCCCAACTATTAAACAAACTTGAGCTAAGGTGGGCGGGACCTTACGAAGTCTTAAAAAAAATCGGAGACTTGGACTATGTTATTAAAACAGGGGACAGCACTAAGGTGGTCCATGTAAATCGGATGATGCTGTACCATCACAGACAAAAACCAGACGACAGCAAGGGACACCCCATGTTAGCGGCAGTGTCAGGAGTGGTGGAGGCAGAAGAAGAAAACCAAGTATCACTAACAGATGAGGAGGACATGGAACCGGGTATTCCATTGGACACAATAAAAACTCCTGACATACTGGAGGAAACTAAGTTAAGTGATATCAAAATAGGAGACACCCTGACAAAAACACAGCGGACAGATCTAGACAAAATTATCCAAGAGTACACAGCTGTAATTAGCAACTTACCTGGAAAAACAAGTTTACTAGAACATAAAATAAAACTGACCAACACCAGAGCAATAAGAACGAAACCCTACTGCATACCATACGCCCGAAGAGAGCTTATGAAGAAAGAGATGGACGAAATGGAGAGACTGGGGATAATAGAGAGGTCCGACTCCGACTTCAGCGCACCTGTAGTACTAGTTAAGAAAAAAGATGGGTCGACACGGTTCTGTGTAGACTATAAGAGACTTAACGCAGTCACAGTCTACGACGCGGAACCCATCCCAGATACAGATGAGCTGTTCGCTAAATTAAATAGGGCAAAATATTTTACTAAACTCGACCTCACAAAAGGGTATTGGCAGATCCCCATGCAAAATGACAGCAAAAAACTCACCGCATTTGTCACACCCTGGGGCCTATTTCAGTTTAATTACCTGCCCTTTGGCCTATGCACGGCACCCGCCACATTCGCCAGATTAATGCGAGTCGTATTAAAAGACTTGGAAAATGTGGTGTCATTTTTTGATGACATCTGTATCTACAGCGAGACATGGGAGGAACACCTTATGGCAATAAAGGCGGTGTTCAATAGATTGAGGGACGCGGGCCTGACAGTAAGACCTGCCAAATTAGAGCTAGGGTTTGAAAAAATTAATTTCCTAGGGCACATAGTGGGGAGGGGGCTACTGACACCAGAGAGAAACAAGGTAAACAAAATCTTAAACGTAGCAATACCCACCACAAAGAAAGAGGTAAGATCATTAGTGGGTCTTATAGGGTATTATGCTAAATTTATACCAGAATTCAGCGAGGCCAACGCAATACTGACAGACTTGTTAGCAAAGGGTAAACCTGAAAAGGTCGTGTGGTCAGATGAATGTAACCGTGCTTTAAGACTGGTCCAGAAACACTTGAACTCAGAACCATTTCTTATTTTACCTAATATTAATGAGCAATTTATTCTCAGGACCGACGCCTCGTCACGAGGTATCGGGGCAGCCTTGATGCAAATGAGAAATGGGGTCCTAAGACCAGTAAAATACATCAGCAGGAAACTCCAACCGAGAGAGACTCGGTACTCTACTATAGAAAGAGAGTGCCTAGCAATTGTCTGGGCCACAGGCAAACTAGCGTTGTATTTATACAACGCTAGCTTTGTACTGCAGACGGACCAGCGTGCTCTAAAATACCTTCATAAATGTAGGTTCAATAATGCCAGACTGACACGCTGGTCCTTACTACTACAGGAATATAAATTTACTATAGAACACATTCCGGGGAGGGATAATCTTCTAGCGGATTTTTTGTCAAGAAATTTTAAATCGGGAGTCTGAGATGTAAATTGTAATTTAAACCACAGATTTGTTTGTTTGTTTTTTTTTGCTGTTTTTTTTTCGGTTATTTTTACTCGGTTGTTTGTCTTGGATTCATGTACAAAGAGATGTATAAATGCATTATTTATTTACTCTCCTCTTGGTGTAGTATACCTGTCAAATCATTATTTTTTATTTTTTTTGTTTGTTTTTTAAAATTATTTTATTTATCTATTTATCTATTTTGTCTCTGTTTGTTTTCGCCCTCTAGGTTAACTTAGGATTTGGGGATTTAGTTAGTATTTGTAGTATGTACTACAAATACTTGGGTGGGGGGTAGTGTTACGGGTCAGTGTAGGTTAGACTAGAATAGGATAGAATGATCTAGAATTAGGGGAGAGTGAGTGTGTGAGTTGAGTTTACCCTAGAATATTGTTAACCCCGGTGTGTTTGTGTATTGTTATCCCAAGGTCGAATGCGGTATAAAAGCTGGAGTGAATGGTTGTCAGGAGTAGTTAGTTGGCAGTCAGCGGGTTAGTAGCGGTTAGGACAAGGGCTGTTCTGTTACGCTTGAAGGCATTGAGACGAATAAAAGTAGTGAAGTTAAACACGAAGCGTTGTTATTGATTTGAAATGAACCCAGAACGTAACACTAGTATTGTGCGAAAAAGTTGCCTCATTGTTAAGGCTTTAATAGAAGTATATTGTGATATATCTGTGTCAAATATTATACATAACTGAAAAATAAACCAAAATCAATAGCTAAACTAAATATATCAATATAGGCCAGAAATTAACTTTAAACAGCAAGATTTGCTATATAAACAGCGTTCATCTGTAAGTTAGAGTGGATTCCCCTGAATCTCTAACTAAAATTTTACCAAGAAAAACCTTAAACAAGATGGCTGCTAAAGTAAATGAGCTTGGTAGCATCTGATGAAAACATCGCTAGTCTTTATTTTTTACTGAACATTTTTAACACAATGGAGGCGACGAGTTGACGAGAATCATTCCATCATGTTGTTGACATGGAATAAAAATGTGCTTTTTTAGATTTAGCAAACAAATCGACAGTAAAAATAAAAACTTGAGCCTGAAATTAATTAAGAAATTTTATATTTTTAGAATCAATGCGTTAAAAGTTGCAAATCCAGAGAGCTTGAAAATAATTTGCTGAGTTTAAGGCTACATTTCTATTTATTTTCATCAAGCCTAAGTTATAACTGGATGTACAGGAACTCCGTGATCAATAACTATTTGTTTACAAAACTTTGCAGATAAAGTTTTTAAATAACAATGCAAATTATAACCCCATGATCTAGAAATCTAGTTGTTTTTTTTTTCGCTTACCATGTGTACAATAAAATTTATGGCAGCCAATCAAAAAGGACGCCATTCAATGCATGATTTTAAATTAAATAATGGGCTTATCACATACTTTCTGCTCGCGTCCATTGTTTAAAACATTAATAAAACTTTGAAACATTTTTGTAACTTTCAAAACCAAAATCCTCCTTAAAGTGTGAAAAAGTTATAAAAATTTAATGAGTCACCTTCTTTTCACATTACTAGTCTCGGCCGATTTTGAGTACCTAAAATGATAGATTACCCTCCTATTAAGTATTATTAATATTAAAGTACAGTATACAGTAGGTATTACTATACTGTAGAGTATAGAGTATATAAGTAGGCCTATAGCCTATTAACTATTAAGTATTAGGCCTATTTACTAATTTAGTATTTACTATTAATTAGTATTAGTATTTTTTTACCCATGGTGTCTCTTTGTTAAATTGATTTATATCCCTTTCGATTAGAAGATGTGCTCTTGAATACATTTTCAAAATCTATATCCTTTACGATCAATAATCAATTAGGAGTACATTATTTCTGACGATAAAAGAAGCTGTGGGAATCTGCTCCCGAAGCAACGCCATATTGTTTTCCTTCACAACCATTAGTTCCGTATGTCAGAACAAAATCCATTAAAACCAACCAAACGAAAGGATAATTTGTTTTGTACTATTTAGATTTATGGAAAAAAAGATTTGAAGAAAATTAATAGATTAGAAATTTAGATACATTCTATCATAGACTAAGAAATTTTTATTAGATCTAGATCTAGGACCTAACTATAATTTTAACAACGATCAATGTTTACAAATCGTAAACGCAATTAAAAAAAACAACCCATCAAAAACTAGATTAATGCTTAATCATACCAATAAAAGTCAAAGCAAAAATAAAATGTTTATCTTGTATGTAAATTGATAGATCTAGTATTTATTTAATTAAAGTCTTCAAAGTTCAATATAAAAAAGCGTCAACATGGTGTTAAAGAAAGCCAAATTTTGCTAGTAGATCAATAAAACTAAAAGGTAACCTAATTCCATGATTCTAGCAATCAAAAATGCATAGCATAAAGGGAAAAAACAATTGTTTAAAAATAAAAACCAACCTTAGTCCACTTACTTTAAAGATTCCAGGTCGATGCAAATTCTGAGTATTTTTTTTTAAATCTGACAAAGGTAGACCGGTAAAACCGCACTGTAAGCATCGGTGGTCTAGTGGTAGAATACTCGCCTGCCACGCCGGTGACCCGGGTTCGATTCCCGGTCGATGCAACTTTTGAGTATTTTTTTTTTAATCACACAAACATTACTGTGAGGAGGTAGACTGGTAGATCTGCACTATAAGCATCGGTGGTCTAGTGGTAGAATACTCGCCTGCCACGCGGGTGACCCGAGTTCGATTCCCGGTCAATGCAACTTTTGAATTTTTTTTTTAAATAACACAAACATTACTCTTAGGAGGTAAACTGGTAGAACTGCACTGTAAGCATCGGTGGTCTAGTGGTAGAATACTCGCCTGCCACGCGGGTGACCCGGGTACGATTCCCGGTCGATGCAACTTTTGAGTATTTTTTTTTAAATCACACAAACATTACTCTGAGGAGGTAGACTGGTAGAACTGCACTGTAAGCATCGGTGGTCTAGTGGTAGAATACTCGCCTGCCACGCGGGTGACCCGGGTACGATTCCCGGTCGATGCAACTTTTGAGTATTTTTTTTTTAATCACACAAACATTACTGTGAGGAGGTAGACTGGTAGATCTGCACTATAAGCATCGGTGGTCTAGTGGTAGAATACTCGCCTGCCACGCGGGTGACCCGAGTTCGATTCCCGGACAATGCAACTTTTGAATTTTTTTTTTTAAATAACACAAACATTACTCTTAGGAGGTAAACTGGTAGCACTGCACTGAAATCATCGGTGGTCTAGTGGTAGAATACTCGCCTGCCACGCGGGTGACCCGGGTTCGATTCTTGGTCGATGCAACTTTTGAGTATTTCTTTTTTAATCACACAAACATTACTCTGAGGAAGTTGAGTCGTAGCAGTGCACTGTAAACATCGGTGGTCTAGTGGTAGAATACTCGCCTGCCACGCCGGTGACCCGGGTTCGATTCCCGGTCGATGCAACTTTTGAGTATTTTTTTTTTAATCACACAAACATTACTGTGAGGAGGTAGACTGGTAGAACTGCACTATAAGCATCGGTGGTCTAGTGGTAGAATACTCGCCTGCCACGCGGGTGACCCGAGTTCGATTCCCGGTCAATGCAACTTTTGAATTTTTTTTTTAAATAACACAAACATTACTCTCAGGAGGTAAACTGGTAGAACTGCACTGTAAGCATCGGTGGTCTAGTGGTAGAATACTCGCCTGCCACGCGGGTGACCCTGGTTCGATTCCCGGTCGATGCAACTTTTGAGTATTTTTTTTTTAATCACACAAACATTACTGTGAGGAGGTAGACTGGTAGATCTGCACAAGAAGCATCGGTGGTCTAGTGGTAGAATACTCGCCTGCCACGCGGGTGACCCGAGTTCGATTCCCGGTCAATGCAACTTTTGAATTTTTTTTTTTAAATAACACAAACATTACTCTTAGGAGGTAAACTGGTAGAACTGCACTGTAAGCATCGGTGGTCTAGTGGTAGAATACTCGCCTGCCACGCGGGTGACCCGGGTACGATTCCCGGTCGATGCAACTTTTGAGTATTTTTTTTTAAATCACACAAACATTACTCTGAGGAGGTAGACTGGTAGAACTGCACTGTAAGCATCGGTGGTCTAGTGGTAGAATACTCGCCTGCCACGCGGGTGACCCTGGTTCGATTCCCGGTCGATGCAACTTTTGAGTATTTTTTTTTTTAATCACACAAACATTACTGTGAGGAGGTAGACTGGTAGAACTGCACAATAGGCATCGGTGGTCTAGTGGTAGAATACTCGCCTGCCACGCGGGTGACCCGGGTTCGATTCCCGGTCGATGCAACTTTTGAGTATTTTTTTTTTAATCACACAAACATTACTCTGAGGAGGTAGACTGGTAGGACTGCACTGTAAGCATCGGTGGTCTAGTGGTAGAATACTCGCCTGCCACGCGGGTGACCCGGGTTCGATTCCCGGTCGATGCAACTTTTGAGTATTTTTTTTTTAATCACACAAACATTACTCTGAGGAGGTAGACTGGTAGGACTGCACTGTAAGCATCGGTGGTCTAGTGGTAGAATACTCGCCTGCCACGCGGGTGACCCGGGTTCGATTCCCGGTCGATGCAACTTTTGAGTATTTTTTTTAAAATCACACAAACATTACTCTGAGGAAGTTGAGTCGTAGCACTGCACTGTAAGCATCGGTGGTCTAGTGGTAGAATACTCGCCTGCCACGCGGGTGACCCGGGTTCGATTCCCCGTCGATGCAACTTTTGAGTATTTTTTTAAAATCACACAAACATTACTCTGAGGAAGTTGAGTCGTAGCACTGCACTGTAAGCATCGGTGGTCTAGTGGTAGAATACTCGCCTGCCACGCGGGTGACCCGGGTTCGATTCCCGGTCGATGCAACTTTTGAGTATTTTTTTTTTAATCACACAAACATTACTGTGAGGAGGTAGACTGGTAGAACTGCACAATAGGCATCGGTGGTCTAGTGGTAGAATACTCGCCTGCCACGCGGGTGACCCGGGTTCGATTCCCGGTCGATGCAACTTTTGAGTATTTTTTTTTTAATCACACAAACATTACTCTGAGGAGGTAGACTGGTAGAACTGCACTGTAAGCATCGGTGGTCTAGTGGTAGAATACTCGCCTGCCACGCGGGTGACCCGGGTTCGATTCCCGGTCGATGCAACTTTGAGTATTTTTTTTTTAATCACACAAACATTAATCTGAGGAAGTTGAGTCGTAGCAGTGCACTGTAAGCATCGGTGGTCTAGTGGTAGAATACTCGCCTGCCACGCGGGTGACCCGGGTTCGATTCCCCGTCGATGCAACTTTTGAGTATTTTTTTTTTAATCACACAAACATTACTGTGAGGTGGTAGACTGGTAGAACTGCACTATAAGCATCGGTGGTCTAGTGGTAGAATACTCGCCTGCCACGCGGGTGACCCGGGTTCGATTCCCGGTCGATACAACTTTTGAGTATTTTTTTTTAATCACACAAACATTACTGTGAGGAGGTAGACTGGTAGAACTGCACTATAAGCATCGGTGGTCTAGTGGTAGAATACTCGCCTGCCACGCGGGTGACCCGGGTTCGATTCCCGGTCGATGCAACTTTTGAGTATTTTTTTTTTAATCACACAAACATTACTGTGAGTTGGTAGACTGGTAGAACTGCACTATAAGCATCGGTGGTCTAGTGGTAGAATACTCGCCTGCCACGCGGGTGACCCGGGTTCGATTCCCGGTCGATACAACTTTTGAGTATTTTTTTTTAATCACACAAACATTACTGTGAGGAGGTAGACTGGTAGAACTGCACTATAAGCATCGGTGGTCTAGTGGTAGAATACTCGCCTGCCACGCGGGTGACCCGGGTTCGATTCCCGGTCGATGCAACTTTTGAGTATATAATTTTTTTTTAAATCACACATACATTACTCTGAGGTGGTAGACTGGTAGAACTGCACTGTAAGCATCGGGTTCGATTCCCGGTCGATGCAACTTTTGAGTATTTTTTTTTAAATCACACAAACATTACTGTGAGGAGGTAGACTGGTAGAACTGCACAATAGGCATCGGTGGTCTAGTGGTAGAATACTCGCCTGCCACGCGGGTGACCCGGGTTCGATTCCCGGTCGATGCAACTTTTGAGTATTTTTTTAAATCACACAAACATTACTCTGAGGAGGTATACTGGTAGAACTGCATTGTAAGCATCGGTGGTCTAGTGGTAGAATACTCGCCTGCCACGCGGGTGACCCGGGTTCGATTCCCGGTCGATGCAACTTTTGAGTATTTTTTTTTTAATCACACAAACATTACTGTGAGGAGGTAGACTGGTAGAACTGCACTATAAGCATCGGTGGTCTAGTGGTAGAATACTCGCCTGCCACGCGGGTGACCCGGGTTCGATTCCCGGTCGATGCAACTTTTGAGTATTTTTTTAAATCACACATACATTACTCTGAGGTGGTAGACTGGTAGAACTGCACTGTAAGCATCGGGTTCGATTCCCGGTCGATGCAACTTTTGAGTATTTTTTTTTAAATCACACAAACATTACTGTGAGGAGGTAGACTGGTAGAACTGCACAATAGGCATCGGTGGTCTAGTGGTAGAATACTCGCCTGCCACGCGGGTGACCCGGGTTCGATTCCCGGTCGATGCAACTTTTGAGTATTTTTTTAAATCACACAAACATTACTCTGAGGAGGTATACTGGTAGAACTGCATTGTAAGCATCGGTGGTCTAGTGGTAGAATACTCGCCTGCCACGCGGGTGACCCGGTTTCGATTCCCGGTCGATGCAACTTTTGAGTATTTTTTTTTTAATCACACAAACATTACTGTGAGGAGGTAGACTGGTAGAACTGCACTATAAGCATCGGTGGTCTAGTGGTAGAATACTCGCCTGCCACGCGGGTGACCCGGGTTCGATTCCCGGTC